AATAAATAAATAAATAAAACAATTCAAAACATAGGAAAGTATATATAAAATGCACAATTTTTGTAAAAAAGTGAATTTTCGTGTACGAACAAATTTTAGCTTCGGAAATTTTATTTTCCTGGAAACTTTCATTTTTCTCCTTTATGGATATTTGACGTTAACCAAACGGTAATTGTCAACTAAAAGAAGAGAATTGTTGTGATTTGGATTTGGATTTGAGTTTGACTCCGTATGAGAACCATATCAGAGTTTGGGAAGATGCACACCGATTGAGCAAATTTTGGACTTACACAGCGACAAAAATCCAGTCGGTAACTAGTGGCTCTGATTAAGCCACGTCAGTTTAGTCCTCACTCCATCAACAATAGTAAAAAATGTTACCGAACGTTTACCGTAAATATACTCCTAATAAATACCATACGGTACATATATAAATTTTTTTTATATGCTAATACAATATACCATATATAATGTAGGGCAAAAGGAGAGGCTATCAAGGTGGCATCCGTGTTTTTTGATACAGTTTTCAGTGCAGAGGCTGCGGAAGCTCTGGTCTTAAGAAAAGGTCTGCAGTTGCTTTGTCAGTCCGATTACGCTTATGTTGACGTTGAAGTGAATTGTCAATTCGTGGTAAATTTGCGACCATCTAACTCTTTTTGTATGGCTATTATTCAGAATATTGACTCTCTGTTATTTAGTAATTTAGGATTTAAACTCTTATGTGTCCTAGATTATGTAACAAAGTTACTCATCAAGTGGGTAAGTGGGCTTTTCATCAAGGGGAGGGAGACTTGCATTTGCAAGTTTGGCCGTCATGGCTTGTTTCTGTCCTCAACGAGGATTTTTCCTCTTGTGCTTGAGGCTTACTGTTTGGAGAAAATATATATATATATATGTGGCGATTTTGTGGGCGAGTGTGTGTGAGCGTGTGCAGGGGGTACCAGTAAGTTACCACACTGGGCGAGCTACAGGTGCACAATCCCACATCGTCTGGGTGTGGATGGGGCAAGTACTATATGTAGATTCAACACCCTTCGGTGACACAACGCGTTTTAAAGCCGTGATGGCCGTGAACCCATCAGAACTCTGTAGTTAAGCGTGCTTAACTTGGACATTAATCTCGTGAGTTATTGGCATATTACAACAAGCCCCTTAAATTACGACTTGATCCGAAATATTAAAAGATAAAAAATTACTCTTATATAAATTACTACTTGATCCGAAATATTAAAAGATAAAAAATTACTCTTGTTGATAATTTTATAAACCAATCAAAAAGTGACAACAAAGCAAATCTTATCTTCAGCCAAAAATAAAAATAACCACACCCAAACACAACCTTATGCCCTTCGCCACTGTTCATCTTTTTCAATTCATATATATATATATATATATATATATATACAGTTATATGTACTGTACATGTTTTTTTAGCTTCCTCTAAAAAAACCTTCCATTGTTCTGCAATTTACATGAACACACGAGCTATATATATATATATATATGCGCACACAGAAAGAGGGAGCTATATACAAGGGCTAGGGTTTGGGGACATGTTAAAGCATATAAGCCATTGTCAAAATCTTCGCACAATAACGATTATGTGCTTTTGTCTAAGAATTCTTCAAATTCCAGTCCCAATTCTGAATTTTTTTTAATTCCACCACGAATTTTTTTATTTTTTTCCCAATCATGCGCGTTGGGAAGATGGTCAACAGTAATTTATATCTATATCTATATCTATATCTATATTAATATTATTATTATTATTATTAAAAGTGTAAAGAGTTTTAATATTTTAGTATTTATTAATTAATATATAAAAATATTTTTATTTTTTAGTTTTTTCCCAATCATGAATTTACATCTATATCTATATCAATATCTATATTAATACTATTATTAAAAGTGTAAAGAGTTTCAATATTTTAGTATTTTAGTATTTATTAATTAATATATAAAAATATTTATTAATTGATATAAAAAGAGTTTTTAAAAAAGTTTCTATAAAATTCTAACACAAATTATCTATTTATCTATTTATTATGAGTTTTTAAATAAAATAATAATAATTAAACAAGGATATATTTAAAGAAAATAAAATAAAGAAATATATAAAAAGTTTAATAATGAATTCCTATTAAAAAGTTTAATAATTGAATTCCTATTAAAAAGTTTAATTAAAAAATAATGTTTTTATCTCTTTAAAATTATAACACAAATTACCTATTTATTATGAATTTTTTTTATTTATTTGATATATGGTGTTTATAAGAATTTTTATAAAACTTAAATCACCTATTTATTATGAGGTTTTTAATAAAAGGAAACCAAATTAGGTAAAGAAATATATAAAGAAAATAAATAATTTAGTTTATCCTAATTAGATAAGGAAATATATAAAAAGTTTAATAATTGAATTCTTTATAAATTATTCCCATAATATAATACATAACAAATTTATACATTTTACATAAAAATAAAATAATAAATAATAAATAATAAATAATAAATAATAAAGAGTTTCTATTACAACATAAAAGAGATAGAAGGGATAGAGTAGGATCCTAATTATATTATTTTACTATAAATTTGCATAGTATTTAAAAATAAAATAAAATATAAAAAAACTGGTGAGATCGGTACATATATATAAATTTTCTTCGTTTCCTACCAATTTGCTTCTTTATTACGATTTACTTTTCTAACAACCTATTTCTTCATCTATTATAATTTTTATATGAATTAAATGAGATAATTAATATTTATTCCTTCTTTAACTATTAATTTAACCCAAATTCTACTTAAAGATAAACTCTTTTTAAACAATAGAACTCGTTCCACCAATATGGCATATCATTTATATACACACGACCATCAAGTTTGATCAAATAATATTATTTCAATTTCCTCTGCTGGCTTTTTTTGACCATGAATCTTGCCAATCTCAAATATTAGGTATCTCTCAAATTTTGTTTTCTTATTGATTTTTCCATGCACAAAGGAATTAGTATAAACTTGCATTTCTTAAAAGGAAATATAGATTTTTAAACTATGACACAAGGTTTTTTTTTTTTTTTTTTTCTATATGATTTTACTTAATTTAATCCAAAAAGTAATTTTATTTTCTACTGTTACAAGTTTAATCTCTCACTAAATAAAATATAGTTCACTAAAATCAATATATTTCTTTTCAATACTATTCGGAACTTTATTTTTTTAATTTGATGTATTTATAATTTATATGAAAATTATAATCAATAATTATATTTGAAATTGAATTATCTCCTAACCAAAGAAATGAATCATATTATCTTATTTACATTTTATATGTGCAAATCAAAGTACACAAAGTCACAAATTCAATTATATTTGTGATTTTTTCACAATATTTGTCTCATACTTCATTTTTTCAGCTATTCACAATTCAACATTCACAAATAGTGGATTTAAATTATCACCAGTAAAATCACTCCATTGTCAAACTTATATTGTAATAAAAAAGTCCCTAGAGCTACCTTGTCCAAACAAAAAAACCAAAAAAATCTATTAAAACTTCACACCCAAAGTCAAAAAAGCAGTTAGAACTATTTTATACACTTATAGTTACTTAAGAAGTTTTACTTTTTATCTTTTACCATTTTATGTTGTTGACCTATTATGATTTACAATTATGACTAATGGTTTAAAAATTATGAATTTTAATATTTATCTAAAACTAGTATTTATATCATAGTTAATAATTATTTAAGTAAAATTTTGTAACTCCTTAAATTTTAATCTTTCCTCTTAGAATACTATCTATTACTCATGATTCATGAATATGCAAAAAAAAATAATAATAATACATTTGATTTCATTAATATTTAAAATTGTAATTACTCAAACAAGTTGCTAATTAATTATTTAAAAATAAAATTTATTTTGATAATTCTCTATAATTTTTAATTAAAATTATAAAATAACTTTTGATCACGTGTATCGCACATGGTTTTTATTAGTGTGTGTGTGTGTGTGTGTGTGTAGACATAAGGGTGTGTTTGAGGTGTTTAGAAGGTGTTTGAGTTTAATAGTTACAATAAGGAACATTAGTGTCTTTTTATACTCACGAGGGTATTATGGTCATTAAAATTATATTGTATGATATGGGGTCACTTTAATGGTAAGATCCCACCGGAACAGTGTCAGATGGGACTAGGTGCAACAAAAATGCATACTTCAAGGATTAACTGCTGATTCTGTTTTTTTTTTTTTTTGTACATTTTACCCTATAATATACTATCAGTATCATTCTTTCCTTATTTCCTATCAACTAAAATTCAAAATCTAAGTAGGTCTTCTGCCGTAGATGTCCATTGGTAATGTTCACAGGATAGACTAATAAAACTTTATTTGATTGCGTATGCAATGAATATCTGCAAATTCCTTCTGGTTTCTGGAGTTTTCCTGGTATAATCTCACTCCCCCTGTATTTTTTTTCTTTTCTTCTATGGACTTATATTTGTGTAGATTTTGCTTATAATATTATGCTCTATAATATCTGGTTCATGAGATTATGGAGGCTCTATTTATAAAATTAGAATTGTAACCATTATGTACTTAATAACTATGAAAATTTAAGATTGAAATAAATTTCACAATCTACCATGGTAAATATAGTTTAGTTAGATTTTTTTCAGAATACTCCCAATATATATATATATAGATATTCCTTTTTCCCTATTCATGTCCTTGGCATTTTCTCAAGGCAAGAAATGGGGGGTACCAAGGGTATGTTTCAATTTTTTTTTCCTTCTAATTTTGGGGGGTCCTCTTTAAGATCCTGTTCCTAAAGTCAAAGCACAGAAAGCATGTGGCTCAACAGCAAACTTTCTTCCTCATTATTTAGGCAAGCTTTTGGTTTGTCACAATTGATTCACTACTACCCACATTCCATATTTTCATGACCCCTGTTAAGTAAAAAGAAGATTGAGCCTTTGAGTAGTGTGTTATTAAAAAACATGGAGATGGAGAGACAAGATGAAATTCAAGACCTTGCATTGTCCCTTCCAACCATGGGTTCTTTGCATATTGCAGGGAGCAATGCCTTTGGTCACAACATTGAGTTCATGTCTCAAACCTACCTTGGGAATAGGAACTCTCAGATTGATATTGAAGATGATACTTCAATGACAAACAAAGATCACCCTCTTCCTATATTTCTCAAGGTAGTGTGTCTTTTACATTTGGTTTCTTATTTTCATTATATTAGTCAAAAATATTGATGCTTTTGTGCAGACAAGTAAATTTCATAATAGTAGACAACATGACACCAGAAATAATTATCAAAATATTTTGGGAATTCAATTTGTAATGCACTTTGTGTTCATGCTTACGTATTTGTACTTTTTACAATATCAAGATCATGTATGTATGTATGTATGTATATATATATGGACACACATATATGATCATATAAAAATCACCCCCTTCCTAAATTTCTTAAGGTAGTGTGCCTTTACATTTGGTTTCCTATTTTCAGGATATTAGTCAAAAAGAGTACTGCTATATTTGAGGACAGTCGGTTCTCCCGACTACTCACAAAGGCATATGTGAACTCTACCATATTGTATAGCCATGTGAGTGGTCGGGGAATCAGTTGGTGTCAATTACATCTTTTTTCCTAGTCAAAAATATTGATGTTTTGTGCAGGAGAGTAAATTTCAGAATACTAGACAACATGACACCATAAATTATGCCTAAATTGTTTTGGGAATTCACAGTGTAATGCACTTTGTGTTTATCTCTACATAATTGTGCCTTTTACAATATGAAAAAGTAAATTTCAATGACAAATAAAGATCATTCCCTTCCTATATTTCTCAAGGTTGTGTATCTTTTACATTTGGTTTCTTATTTTCAAGATATTAGCCAAAATATTGATGGTTTTGTGCAGATAAGTAAATTTCAGAATACTAGACAACACGACACTAGGAATTATGCCTAAAATGTTTTGGAAAATCAATTTGTAATGCACTTTGTGTTCATATGTACATAATTGTGCTTTTTACAATATGATAACTATATTAAATTGCTGCATTAATTACTAGATCATGTGTATATATATGTATATAGACACACAAATATTCTGTTTTTCCTTTCATTGCAGTTTGAAGATGTGGAATATAAGGTGAGAATTAGCCAATCTTCTCCTACCAACCCTGTGAAGGCAGTAGTGTCAAAGGTGGCCTCACAGCTGAACATGGAACAAGATAATTACAAGCAGATATTGAAGGGTATAACAGGAAGTATTGGCCCTGGGGAAATTCTTGCTCTGATGGGCCCTTCCGGTAGCGGGAAAACTACATTACTAAAGATTATAGGAGGGAGGTTACATGAAAATGTTAAAGGAACTATAACTTACAACGACATTGCTTATAATCCAGCTCTTAAGAGGAGGTTAGCAAACTATATAATTTATATTTCTCACGATTTATAGTATTTGCATCAATTACCATTTTGTTCACTTCACAGGATTGGATTTGTGTCACAAGATGATGTGCTCTTCCCACAACTGACAGTGGAAGAAACCTTAGTTTTTGCTGCATTTTTAAGGCTTCCGAGCAGTATGAGCCGAAGACAAAAATACGAAAGAGTACAGATGATCATTAAGGAATTAGGCCTTGAAAGGTTTGTGTGGAACTTTGGCTTGATTTATTTTTGTTTGTAGATGATAATGAAAGTATGTGATACATTTCTGAATTTCTTATGTAAATTAGATGCCGTCACACGCGAATAGGAGGAGGATTTATTAAAGGGATATCCGGGGGAGAGAGAAAAAGAACCAGTATAGGGCATGAAATTCTTGTTGATCCTTCGCTATTATTGCTCGATGAACCAACTTCAGGACTTGATTCTACCTCTGCAAATAGACTTCTTCAGATTCTTCAAGGAGTTTCGAAGGTATAGGAATCTTGCTCTTTGCAGTTCCAATCAACATCCACATAAATTTTCTGCATTATATTCTATTTTTCGGAAAATTTTAGTACTAAACTCTCCTCAATTTTCACAAATACTGAATTTTAGTACTTAACTCTCAGTATATGCAAGTCAAAACATGTGACTAGTTTTCACCATTTTCTTCTTTTTTTGATTCTCATCCTCTAGCATGCATTTCTTTAATTGATTTATTCATGCAACTGAACAATCCAAAAAACAGAACTTGACATGAATGAGAAATGTTCTAAAGATTTAGAATGTCTATAGGCAGGAAGGACGATAATCACAACGATCCACCAGCCCTCGAGCAGGATGTTTCACATGTTTGACAAGGTTCTGTTGATATCAGAAGGCTACCCAATGTACTATGGTAATGCTAGAGGCTCCATGGAGTACTTCTCGTCTCTGAGATTCGTCCCAGAAATAGCAATGAATCCTGCTGAGTTCTTGTTGGATTTAGCAACCGGACAAGTGAATGACATTAGGGTCCCGGAAGATTTACATGCACCACAAGACACTGCTGAATGTGAGAGGGTTGTTATCAAAGTGAGAATTTTACATTTTTACATGCCTTGTCACTTCTCATTTTCAAATATTTTTTGCTATATCTTTTTACTCACTCTTTCAACATTTATTTCTATGGCAAATTAGTATCTACAACTCAAATACAAAATTGAATTGGAGCCAAAAGAAAAGGAGGAGAATCATCGGACAGCAGAAACAGCAGAGCATCTTCGCTTAGCAGTTCAGATTAAGAAGGATTGGACTATTACTTGGTGGGAACAATTCAGGATATTGTCCAAGAGAACATTTAAAGAGAGATGGAGAGACTACTTTGATAGGCTAAGACTAATTCAAGCACTTGGCGTGGCGGTCTTATTAGGTCTTCTTTGGTGGAAGTCCACAACTAAGACTGAGGCTCAACTACGAGATCAGGTAATCCTTAAAATTAATCAAATACTATGGTTTTTTTTTTTTCAAAAAAATCAGTCCTTCTACCTAAAAACTATGACATTTTGTTCCCAAATGCAGGTTGGTTTGATGTTCTACATCTGCATTTTCTGGACATCTTCGTCGTTATTTGGAGCTGTGTACGTCTTCCCATTTGAGAAGATCTATTTGGTGAAAGAGAGGAAGGCAGATATGTACAGGTTAAGCGTGTACTACGCGTGCAGCACCATGTGTGACATGGTGGCTCATGTTTTCTATCCTACCATTTTCATGGCCATTGTATACTTTATGGCTGGCTTCAAGAGAACAATCCCTACCTTCTTCTCAACATTGGCAGCAATATTGTTAATCGCTATTACAAGCCAAGTAAGTTCTAAGTTATTTCTATTTTATTTTATTGTTCCATTGGAAAAACCTTATAAATTGAATCATTTTTCTAATTAGGGGGCCGGAGAACTCTTTGGAGCTGCAGTTCTGAGTATTAAAAGGGCCGGGATGATTGCTTCTCTCATACTAATGCTCTTTCTCCTTACCGGAGGTTACTATGTTCAGGTACTCAAAATCTGTGAAAGCAAATTTCTGTTACTGAAAAAAAAAAAAAAGGGATTGTTTTTCCTTTACTTTTCTTTGTTTTTTCTAGACGAAAAACGACTATTTTTTATCTCATTGCTCATAAATGTTAAAGTCCATAGTCATGATAACATATAACTCAACTCAACAAAGCTTTTTTTCCAACTATTTGGAGTCGGTTATAATGTTCATATAGTACTAAAAAAAGGTTAATGCTGGCTAACAAGCTTGCAATCCTCCTTTTTCCGGACTTAGACTGTTTGTAAATTATAAATCACTGGCATGCCACAAGTGGAGTTGTTCTAGGAATAAAGTATTCTGGTTGCTAACAAATTTTAGGTGCTCTACGAAAAATCTGCATTCAACATGAATAAAAATGTAAATTGTTTCCAGTTACATTCCTGGCATAGTTCTTATTGCTCTGCAAAAAAACGATAATGGCAAGTATTCACAAGGTTTAGCTCCATGACACGAGAATGAAACTAACGACGATATGTTGTTTGTCATTGCAGCACATACCACCGTTTATGCAGTGGCTGAAGTACCTATCTTTCATGTTCTATGGCTTTAGACTCTTGTTGAAGGTGCAATATTCCGGAGATGAACTGTACGAGTGTGAAAGCAAAGGAGGATGCAGAACTCTGCAGAGTTCACCCTCATTTGACACGGTGAACTTGAATGGTGGATTGAAGGAAGTTTGGGTCCTATTGGCCATGGCACTAGGTTACCGGTTTTGTGCTTACCTTTGCCTTCGAAGAAAGATCAACGTATGCCATCTTTGAACAACTAATTTGGTGTCACAAAATGGAAAGCCATTTTCCTAGAGATTCTACCTTGGTGACTTCCCTTTTTATTTTATTCAATGATACAATTGCAACTATTATTGATGTAATTTAAGTGATTTTTTTTTTTTTTTTTTTTTTTTTTTTTTTTCCCGAATCTGTAGAAGTTCCAATTTCTTTGTAAGACTAGGAAGAACACTAGCAAAATGTGGTCTTTATAGTTGAAAAAATATGAAAAACAATTTATGAACTGGTTAATCCAATACTTGAAGAGACAAAGAAATTCTCAGAAACAGAAACACTAGGCATAGTGTTTGTGTGTGTGTGTAAAGGGAATCCCAGCAGAGTACTGCTAGTTAGTTTACTTTTGCCTTTTATATGCACCTAACAATTCTTTCAACAACTGGCCTCATACAAATATTTTATTCCCCGGACAATCAACTCTTACACCGTACTTGGAAATACTCGATTCATTTACTTTTTAAATTAAAAGAAGAGAAAATATCACTAGATCACTCGACCACGGGTCTTGCATATTGGAAATGTCAAAGTTCAAACAATATATCACATGGTTCAAGTATCTCTTTGTTTTCCTTTGACAATGATCACAATAGAGAGCTCTTCTAAATTCAATTTGATATATATATATATATACACACTATTCCATTATTAAGACACATCACTACATAAATGTATGATCAGTAGATGATTAATAATTTGATTAGCATACCTCCTTTGAACTACTACATGGTCCCCTTGTTTCGACTACTATTAATTCTAGTTAATGCAGACAGCTCTTACTCTCTGCAAGAGCACTCTCTTTTTCTAGCAATGGAATGGGACGGCTCGGGAAAAAAAATATGATATATGTGTGTGTGTGTGTATATATATATTCTATCCTTTATGATTTTCTAATCGTAATGAACTTTTTTCTAATAGTGGAATACTTAATCCGAAAAAGTATTCGATTTGGATGGTCTTTTAACTAAATTTGTGCATGACTACGAAAGATTTCATATTTAATTGGTTGTTCAAATTTAGTTAAAGAAAATTAAATCAAATTTTGAAATTTTCAAACTCACATAATTAGTAAACATTAATTACTAGTCCTATTTTTTTTTTATAGGTAAGAAATGGAAAAGCACTTGAATTAAATTAAACTAAATAAAAAAATTATTTATTAAACGATTTGAAGTTATCGGTACATGAAGTAATAGCATACAAACATTTCAATTATTTATTAAACCATTTAAAGTTGTCGGTACATAACGTAATAGCAATGTAACACACATAAACGATTTAAAGTTATTGTATAAATAATGTAATGATACATAACGCAGAATAAATTGAACTAATTAAACCAAATAAAAAAATCACTTGAATTAAAATTTTAATAAATAACTATTCTTTTTGGTTTAATTAGTTCCATTTAAAGTTATTGGTTGTCTAAATGAAAGCAAGTTAACAAATAAAATAGCACTTGAATAAAAATTTTGATAAATATTTATCCCTATTGGGTACAAATCAATTTGGTATCAACATTTTAAGTTTTAGATTTATTTGACATGCAGATGACTTTTTTGTAATAATGCTATATTTTGAACTTTGATACGTGCCGCTATTTGTATAATTGAAATATATGTATGTTGTTACGAAAAAAACACTTGACTAAATAGTTTTTTTATTTGATTTAATTAGTTCCATTTATTTATGATTACGTTAGTTACATTCTTTGTGCAGTTACATTAATTTTAAAACAAATTGTTATTACAAATCACTTTTAGTAACTATCGAGCGGCACATTGGGTTGGTCGAAAGGCTCTTCTCTCTTCCTTAATGACCTTGGTTGGGATTTCCACCGGTCTAGTTGATGTGCTAAGTTCGGATCTTGTTTAGCTTTGTCTTTGTTTGCCTAGAAAAGAAAAAAATCACTTTTTCATTTGGGAAATTTAGACAAAGTTATTCCTTGTCGGAAAAAAAGAAAAATATTTTTTGGGACTCACATGGGTCCGACTAATTGGCGCGAGTTTAAATTCATTTGCCCATTTACAATTTGTTATCTTATCTTATATAGTAGTGAAAAATAAATAAAAAACCCTATATGTGGGTCCAACTCATAAAATTCGAAGCCAATTATTATAAATGTGGGTCCAACTTTCTCTCTCTCGACAGTCGACGGGTGCACTTCACACACACACTGTAGTCATTGGTCAAAAGTGCTTTCTGACAAATGACACCCACACATTCCAGGAAGCAGAAGAAACCCAGCTCCCCCGAGACTGACTGTTACTTTCTCTCTCCTCCCCAATTCTCTATCTCTCTCTCTCTCTCTCTCTCTCTCTCTCTCTACAACTAAGCAGAATAAAACTGCATCTGAATATTTGAATCCCCTTGTTTCTGGGTTCTGTCGGCTCTTGAGGCAGTTGTTCCCTGTTTCTCTCTCTAAACCACCTCCTCCTCCTCCTCCTCTATCTGTGCCTCTCTCCCTCTCTCTAAGTCATGTCGAAAATGGAGCTGGTGCCATATTCAGACCCCAACTCCAATTCAAATTCCTCCACCGTCCCATGGCAAGACATGTTCCGATCTGCCTCAATTCGAAAACCCGAGGCCACACCTCAAAACCACGCGTCGCCACCACCGCCGCCGCCGGAGCCGTCCACAAAAACCAACCATGAGTCGGATCACAGCCCTCTCTCCGGCGACGCCCAGGTACGTCTCGCTCTCTACATCGCCATGGCCCACGCCGGCCTAGCCTTCACCATCTTTATTCTGTACGCTGTGTGCAAATTACTTGGAGAATACTTGCGACCCATTCTCTGGGCCGTGCTCTGTTCCATCCCTTTGAGAGGAATTCAACAGACCCTAGAAGGGTTTTGGTTCGAGCCCTTGAATTTAGGGCTCACAGAGACTGTATTGGCCATCCCTGTAGCAATATTTAGGGTCGTTGTGGGAACCCTAGTCGATATTCGTGAAATGTGCTTCCGGTTTCTTCTCCGACGGAAGAAATCGGATGGTCTGAGGAGGAATCGAAGTGGGTTCTCGAGATTGATTCGTTGGCTTGTTTCATTTGGGGTTTTTGTAGTGGCTTATGAAGAATTTGGTAGCTTTGGGTCACTATCACTTCTTGGATTGGGATTCATGTTTACTTCTAATACTGTTGACTCCACCATGTCTACTGTTTCATCATTAAGGAGTCGGAGCTTTCGTCGCAGCGCGATGAGCGCAGTTTTCACCAGAGGGCTATTGAAAAGGTTGAAGACAATTGTGGCTATTGGGTTGATTGTTGGGATGATAGTCGGATCGTTGTTAGGTTTGATTTTTTTTTCATATAAAATAGGAGTTGAGGGTAAGGATGCTGTAATTTCACTGAAATCTCATGTAGAAGAGAGTAACTATGCAGAGAAGATTGGCGTTAAGAAATGGATGGAAGAGAATGATGTGCCTGAAATGATGGATATGTACACTACCAAGTTATATGAGACTGTGTTTGTGCAGATTGATAGTTTGGCAATGCAGTACAATTTGACAGAGTTTGTGACTGGTATCAAGCATTTTGTGGTAAACCCATCTTTGAACTCTTCCGGGCGCTCTAAGGCTCTGATGGCTCCTTCCCGATACACGGATAAACTTCTTAGCTTGAGGAAGAGGGTTGTAAATCGCGAATGGGGGGGGATTTATACCGAAGTGGATGCAATCTTTAGAGAATTACCAATCACCAGGGAGGATTTGATTGAGAAGACAAAAGGGTTTGTCAGTCAAGGAACGGATGTTGCACAACGTGTGTTCACTAGTAGCACATCGGTTCTTGGTGGCAGCGCGAAGCTCATGTTCTCGATTGGTCAATCCATTGTGTCTGGAGCTGCAGGTCTCTTCAATTTTGTGTCTTCATCAATGGTTTTCTTTTGGGTTTTGTATTATTTGATCACATCAGAGTCTGGTGGGGTAACAGAGCAAGTGATGTGTATGCTTCCCATTTCAAAATCTGCTAGGACTCGATGTGTTGAAGTTCTAGATAAAGCTATTTCTGGTGTTCTCTTAGCTACTGCTGAGATTGCTTTCTTTCAAGGATGTCTCACTTGGCTTTTGTTTAGATTATACTCGATACACTTCTTGTACGTGTCTACTGTGCTTGCATTCATCAGTCCTTTGTTGCCAATCTTCCCTTATTGGCTTTCAACAATTCCGGCGGCTTTGCAGTTGGTACTGGATGGTAGATATATATTGGCCATCAGCTTGTCCTTTATCCATCTTGTGCTTATTGAGTACGGTATTTCCGAAATTCAAGAGGATATACCCGGTCATAGTGCATATATTACCGGGCTTAGCATCATTGGTGGAATGACATTGTTTCCATCTGCATTGGAGGTAAACTGCCAATAATTTGTTCCCTTTTCTTTTCTTTTTCTTTTTATTTATCACATTTCTGCATGGATTAGTTGCTCTTTGTGATTTCCCTAAGCTAGTTTCTTCTTTTTTTGTTTTTTTAAACAGTTTTAAGAATGTCATTTTCCAAATGAGTGTTGAAGTTAAAACTATAGAGTCAATAATCAACTTTTAAAATTATACTGGCTTCGTGCCTAGAAAATTAGGTGTTCTAAAAGTCATGGGAAGTTAATAATGTCATCTGTAATTTCTTTTAAAGAAGACTTGAGACTTTAAAAATGGATCAACCTTTAAAATTATACTGGCTTTCTGCCTAGAAAATTAGGTGTTCTAGAAGTCACGGGAAGTTGATAATCTCATCTGAAATTTCTTGTAGAGAAGACTTGACTTGAAAAAATGGATCAACCTTTAAAATTATACTCACTTTCTGCCTAGAAAATTAGGTGTTCTAGAAGTCACGGGAAGTTAATAATCTCATCTGTAATTTCTTGTAAAGAAGACTTAAATCCTTGCAGAAGAAAAAGGTGCAGGGAGATGAGTTAGATTCTCTAAAACTGATGATTATCCAAGATGTTACTCTCTTATAGATGGTCCGCACTTGCTGCTTTATGAGTATAAATATTTGATATTTTTTGTATGGTCTGAAGGAAAAGATTTGTTTATGTGTGTCTGACCCTATAACGTGAACTAAAATGTTGTGATTAATGGCAACTGTGGCTTGTAACCTTGTATCTATGAAGTTACACAGAGAGCAATAACTATGAAGTTATATCTATAAAGTTAAGGATCAACCTTTAGAAGTTTACACAAAAAAATAAAATAAAAAATGATCAACCTTTAAAATTATACTGGCTTTCTGCCTAGAAAATTAGGTGTTCTAGAAGCCACGGGAAGTTAATAATCTCATCTGTAATTTCTTGAAAAAGAGGACTTAAATACTTGCGGAAGAATAAGGTGCAGGTAGATGAATTAGATCTTCTAAGACTGTTGATTATCGAAGATGTTATTCTCTTATAGATGGTCTGCACTTGCTGCTTTATGAGTTAAATATTTGGTAATTTTTGTATGGTCTAAAAGAAGGCTTATATGTTACTGAATCTATAACGTGAACTAAAATGTTGTGACTGATGTTGGTAATTGTGGCTTGTGTCTATCGCTACACAGGGAGCAATAATGGGGCCGCTGATAACCACTGTTGTGATCGCTCTTAAGGATTTATATGTGGAATTTGTTCTGGAAGAACCATCGGAAGATGACACATAGAATGCACAGCAAGTTTAATGCGTATTTTTACAAGAAGAAATGTTGGGTTGTACTACAGAAGAAATGCAGAAGCTGTTGTTTCAGGGGCTTGAATTTTTTGGCAATCTGTTCCCAGAACCACTCCTCCTACATAGCATGTTTGTCCAGTTTTATTGATTATATGCTCTCTCTCTGGTCTCTGGGTTGTTTTTCTTCTTTCTTTCTTTTAAAATTTTTATTTTTCCATTCTTTTTAGTGTGTTAAATAGTAGTTGTGTAGTCTCTTATTATTCAAAAAAATTGTACATTTTCCATGGATTTATTTGCATAAGATAATTTTCTCTCTTTTCTCCTCGTGCTTGCCTAGTATTCCTAAGCACTCAATCTCCTCCCCTATGATCAACTTTCTCAAGTTTTTTATATTCTTCCCATTTTATTTGCCCTTTGGTAAGTATTGGATTTTTCATTTCAAGAAATGCTAGTAACAATCACCATGCAGCAGAACACATCAAGAACCTGACCGAACATGCTCAGAATTCCACATCTAAACATTTGAGAATCATGATTCAATCACAAAATACATGCCCGTTCCTAAAGGAAAAATCATGGGAAAGAAAACACCGGTGACACAAAGGTGTCCGGCAATGCACCGATATACCAAGGCCAAACATATAAGTCGGCCCCTAAAAAAAATGAATTGTTGCAAATTATACACAATGCAACGACATTCAAATATCCAATTCAGTACAAAAGCAATGGTAAATGCTGACCAAGACAAGTAACCAATGCACGTCAAATATAACCAATCCAAAAGATAAAATTAATTATTGCCAATTCCATAGAGAGCAGCAACATCCAACCACGGAGTCAGACAGATGTTGACTTTCAGAATTCTTAACCAAATTCTTAGTCAGAAACATTGCTTACTTTTAGTACATACAAACAATCAAGAACAGATATTCTTTGAACTTCATTACACCATAGTTTGTCTTTCATTCACTAAATAGATGGAGTTACTTCATGTATTTCTGGAGAAATTTGCGGTGGAAGTCATTCCTAATAGTATCATTAATAAAGCGCTTGGGAGTCTTGGCTTCACCACGAGCTTGGTTCTTAAACACCACGTCATCATCCCACCTGAACCAACGAGAATAAGAAAAGAATAAAGTCAGGGCAGCACCGGACTCAATTCATAAACGCACCTTTAAACTTTATTAAAGAACCAGAGCTGTAGTCAGATCTTAAGGCAACTGACCTTCTTTTGACATTAAAAGATGTTGCATTATTTAGCAGAGGGTTTCCTCGTATCAATTCTGCTTCTTTCACTTTCAGGTCCTCTTCCTGCTTTTGTCTTTCCTGCACGTCAACAATTATTTGCAAAAAACCAATGCCATTAGCAGTTTTGCAGCAATAAGCTACATTATGCAACATCAAATGTATTCAGAAAATAAATTCAACTAAAGGCATGAATTTACGAGGTTATTTTGCCCTTGTCATGACTTGACAGTTGCCATTTATGCAAAAATTTCATTTCTGTTGTAATATTCAAATATTCAGTTAGCACTTGAAGTATTTTTGTAACTGTTGGTCATTCAATAATATAATTATATAAATAGATGAGGTGTACAGATTAGAGATGTCAGAAATATTCTTGAACCCTTTTCTCTCACTCTCTCTAGTATGTCAGATCCTAATCTTCCCAAGCCTAGTATATTAGTAAGTCATTTCAACTTGGTATTAGAGCCTAAATCTAAGTCCCAAAGCCATCCCAAAGACAAAAAAAAAATACTCATTAGTGTGTTACTAAATAGCAGAGGGGTGCTGATATCAGACCATATGATGACATCATTCTGACATCAGCATTGATAATGGAATATTGTGGTAATTAGGCAGCCATCAATATTGCACACAATCCAGTTCAGTATGACAAGACAAAGCACATTGAAATTGACAAGCACTTTGTCAAAGCCGAGTTGAATGGTGGAGTGATTCGCACAAAAGAACCGTGGAACCGGGACTGGAGGACTGGAACTGGAACCGGAACCGAGACTTCGGTTCCCGTTCTCACGGTTCAGGTTCCGGTCCCGGTTCCTAAAATGAGGAACCGTTGAGATTCGGTTCGGTTCCGGTTCCGAACCGTAATATATATATTATATATATTTGATTATATTATTAGTAATTCTAAACCAAAAAAACAAAATATTTTTCGGATAAATCATTTCAGCCTCCCCAATCGCCTCCATCTCTATTCTCATTCTCGACTCTGAACTTCTCTCTCTCTCTCTCTCTCTCTCTCTCTCTCTCTCTGCAACTGCAAACTACAAAATCTACAAGAACCAGAAGTTCAAAACCCAAATATTTCACTTTATCTATCTGTCTGCAAGAATCAAAAGTTCAAAACCCATATCGGCATATCATTTCAGATTGTTCAAAAAATCAAAACCCATATCTTTCAGTTTCCATCGCCCGCTGTTCCAGTTCGGGTTCGCCGTTCGCAAGCTTCAGCCGCTGTCTCTCAACTCTCAAGCTTGCCCCCCTCTCTCTGCAACTGCTAACTTGTATGTATGGGTTTTGTTTTAAATTTTTTTTTTCTAAATCAATTAATCAAGGTCTGTAAAACTGTAAGACTGTAATTCTTGTTTTGCAAACTAAATCCTATTCTATTTCTATTTTTTTTTTTTTTTGTGTACCAGAATGACCTTTCATATCAAGCCTTGGAAGGAAGAGGGGTGGCCGGAGATTTGCAAGGCTCCTAGAAACTCTAGGTTTCCATTGTAGCAGTCAACAACAGTCAACGGTTCCTTGGAACCGAACCGTGAATGCCGGTTCGGTTCGGTGTGGTTCCAGATCTCAACGGTTCCGGTTCCATTTTTAAGGAACCGTTGAGATCGGTTCCGGTTCCGTCACGAACCGGACTGAACCGGACCATGTGCACCCCTACCTTTCATCCATCAAAGAAACATTTGGCTAATGTTTTCACTAAAGGTTTGACTAGTAGAATTTTTCGTTTTATATGCTAGTTGGGAACTAGATATATTCACTGAATGGGAGTGTCCGAATATTCAAATATTCGATAATTTAGCACGTAATTAACCTTCTTCTCGCTCTTTTCTTTTAGTTCACTCATTGCATCTCAAACCCTAATCTTCCCAATCCTAGTATCAAGTGGTAATACATTTCAACTACTGCCCAAAAACATAAATTGTTAGGCGTGATCCTTAACTGATGATTATCATAATTGTCTTAGGAAATGGGAAAAACTCTCATGAACTAATGTCAATTTTTGGATTTAAACTCAAAAACAAAATGGTGCCAACTTTTGGATTTTGTAATAATGTGCCCCAAAAAAAGCACATTGCCATAAATACGTTACAAAACATCCTATTGAAAATTCATGACTTCAGTAAAAAATTCCAAAACATAGAAGATATGAAACCAAACTTACTTTGTGGAGTTTCTCTTCTGCTCTTTCCTTCTTTATTTGTTCTAGCTCAGCCAAAAGAGCTTCTGTGTCATCCTCATCATCATCATCGTCTTCGTCATCACTGATCACAAAATAGTAAAATTTTAATACAACAGAATCCAAATAGCAAATGAATACAATGGCTAATATGAAAAGGCCAATGAAATCTAATCAGGAATAGTAAAACAACTAACAAGTACATATGAGCCATAAGCTATATAATCAAACCATGTCAGAAATACAAGGAATATGCCATCATAAGTGTGTTTAATTAAGTTATATATGCAAAGAGTGGCACCTTTCGTCCTCACTTTTGACTTCAACATCAGCATCATCAGCGTCTGCACTGCGCGGAATGATTCGGTCTTCTGCATCTCTCCTAGCCCCTGTAAAAAGTACAAAGTCAGTTGATAAGATAGGCATGTGCACAGGCACGCACGCACACAGATAAATAGTTTAATTGGCACTGCTACCAAAAGATCAAATAGCATTCACCTTCCAATAGAAGATGCCCTCCCTTTCTACGATCTCTGTCTTCTGCAACCATATGCAATTAAATTTTATGTAAGGACAAAATGCTAGTGACCAGCAGAATAGGCAATAAGAGTAAAGGAAAATATGAGTAACAAAAAAGAGAGGAAAATATTTTCTCTACCAACATAGCCCTTACCCTTCGAAGAGAAATGTCTCCGCTCACGCTCCTCCAACTCCTCACGGAGGTTCCTCTTCTGCAATTCCTCCTTGGTGTCTTGCCCCTCCTTTCTGTAACAACACACATCGGTCAGAAAAAGGTTCTCAAAGACAAGCATCAGGAAGAGAAATGGCCAAATACGCACGTGATGACATGTCAGTAGTAATACAACTGTGATTCCTCAGTTGCAAATAAATAACCAAAACCAGATTGGTATAAATTGGGATGGTTGGCCTTGGTTTGACCTGAGGGTCTAGAACATAAATTTACACGTAGAACCTACTAGCTACAGTTAGAGACCCATCAAGGCCTAACCCCCCAAGCATTTCTACATCTGGTTCTGTTACTTCCATTGGATATTCTATGCTTCATAACAAGGCAAAAAAAAGTGACAACAAACTTCTCCAAATTGAGTAAACATTCAAGATGAGCAAATTCCAAACATAATAGGCTACTTGACAGAAGCTAAATATATGGTCCTTCTCTAGTTTTGGAAACCACACAATTGTTTAACAATTTTGGCTCACCAGATTTCCTAATGCTCCGTTTGGTAAGGGGGATGAAATTCAACAATGGAATCTTGTACCATCCCTCCTCTCTTCAACAATTTTTAGGCTACTATTGTCAAATCCCAACTTCTCCTGATCAGTAGGAAAAGCAGTGAAGATGACTAGTTGGATGCAACTTGAAAAACACACAAATGTTAGTAACTTAGTTGCATATATTTTGTAGAAATAACGGGTTATTCAAGTATAAATTTTAATTCATATCTACAACAGTACCAAAACTCAGTTAAAATCATAAAGGTTGACTCCCCTAAAACTATAAATTATACACAAATAAATTATCTGGTGTGAATAAAAGTTGGGATCATTGCCTTAAGACCGCATCAACACATTAATTAAAGGTATCAAAAAAAAAAAAATAGTGATGAACTTAAGAGAGGACACAAGCATATCCATAGAGAGTATAGTTCACTAAAATTCAAACCTGGGTTTTAAATTTGTGTGAGCTGCAAGGTCCCTGGACGAATATTTCTGAGAGGGGCCGAAAATTCGAGTACCACCTTGTTCGTTACCCCCCTTAGCAGGTGCCCATGTGGGTCGAGCTGCAGTCGTCATGTCTTCTTACTACCCTCAAGATGTCTGTCAAAAACGAAACAACTATTGTTTTAAATCATATCAATCAAACAAATGCTTATAAGCAACAAAAACTGCACAATAAAACAGCCAAAAAAAAAACAAAGAACAAGAAAGCTACGATTAATATTTACAAGTTGAACCAAATTAGGGTTCTCATATGGTAAATTATACAATCATTCATGGATCGTATTCATAAGTATAAGTAGTGGTTGATGATTGTAAAGTTGAGTAATTAGAGGTGAAAAATCCTAAGGAGATACTGTAAATCATGAGCATAAATAAATAGAAATCCCTACAAGATTGAAATTTATTGCAGAAATGTAAGAGAAACAAACCCCAATACAAAGTTGTTTGCCAGACTGAGATCGGAAAATCAAAACCATAATACAGATGTTCGGAAAAGATGGAGATTAGGGCTTTTACCTTCCGATATTTGATTCCCGGATTGAGAGACTCAGAGAGAGGGGAGAGAGTCTTGCGAGGACAACAAATAACGATTAAATATTTCGTTGGTGGACAAAACGGTGCCGTATCAACGTGGCGGTGTCGTTCCAATGAAACTGATAATACTGCAATCGAGCCGAGATGAGCCAATTAGTGATTTGCTCGAGCTCGGCTCGGCGGCGACATTCGAGAGCAATTCGAGCTCGACTCGAAGCTCGTTTACGTTTAGAAGAGTCTTATTATCAAAATCAATTGTCAGAAGTTCTAATCAACCCTAAATTGTATACCGATAAAAAAACATACACACTATCTATATATATATATATATATATCTTATCATCAAAATCAACTTCAAACTGGAAAACTCAATTACAAAATCACAAAAAATAATAATAATAATAAATAAATAAATAAATAAATAGGTATGTAAAATATGATGAATATGAGAAATTCGTTCATAATAGTGGAGGCTGCCGGTGGCATTGGGAGAAAATATAAGAAAAACAAAAGAAAATATTTATTTGGTATATAAATAAAATTAATCTTTATAATGAGATACTAACAACCACATACCACATATATCAATTGAGTTTCGTACTGTTGGAATGAAGAACAAATGAGAGAAAATAGTTTTACCTGAGAAGAATCTGAGAGAGGATTTTGTAGCTGCTTACTTTTGTTGTTAGGGGGTTCACGACTTCAGGCTTAGGCAAAGCGTAATGTTGAGAAAGAAGAAGGGTTCTTTTAAATAGGACATGTTAGGGATTTTATTTTTTTAACGAATAAAAGTAAAGGTACGCTTGAGATTTTGTAAGTTTCATTAAATCGCCTATGCTCTGTTTGGAAAGGATTTGGATTTAAAATTGGAAAAGGAATTGGATTGGAATTTCATTTATGTGTTTGGAATAAACTGGAATTCTAACTAAATGAATTACCTTTTTGTTTTGATTGGCCTGGCCGCTCTCTTTGTATATTCGTATATTTGCATTAATTTACTTGCCTAAGTAAAGCTATGTTTGCATGACATATCTTGGCACTTAAACCAGAATTGTTATTTATAATAATTTTGTCAACTTAAACCACAAATAAAAAAAAAATAAAAAAAAACCACATATTATGAAACAATATTTTAATATACTACTTTTACTCTTAAATTTTTATTATGTAAAATTAAATGTTTTGTTACCATTTTTTTTTTCTTTAAAAAAAAGAGAGTGAAATAAGTTAATTTGGTCAAATTTTCTAAAACATCATGCTCAAACATTATTTGAGTTATTAATCAATCTTAATAACAAATAAAATATCTAAATGAATCTCTAAAATGAATTAAAGTACTTTATTTTTCTCTTTGAATTAGCTTTAGAGATTGAACAAAAATAGATAAATTAAACAAACTAAAAAAACCATTCAAGACTTGTCATATTCCATGACAACCAATCTTTACGCATATGACCTGGGCATTCAAAAAATCCTTCAACGACTACCGGATCTGAAATAAGAAAATCATGACCAGCAAATAAAAAAGTTTTATCAATTCCCTCCATTGCTTGTAGATCTGAAAACATTTCTTCTCCCGGACCTTTTTCAACCATCACATTGATGTGTTTCTTATTAAAGAGATCATAATTGATGTATAGAGTAGAAAAAAGCATAATTGATGTATAGAGTAGAAAAAAGTTTACAGTTTGGCCTGCTTTTGCATATTAGAAGAGAAGGATTGATGCAAAGAAAGAAAGACAATAAAAGGACTGAGAATCCACGCGAATATTCATTTTATAGGGAAAGTGATACGTCAAAAGAGGAGGATATTTTAATAAAATTAAGATACTTCGGAAAAGTTGTTACTCACTTCGTCACAAATCTTAAGAAATTCTGTCAATTTTCCCCAGATTTGTTACAACCACAATATTTTGATGAAATCAGATTCTTGTTAGAATTCCTTCGTTTCCAAATAACATAAATTTCATTCTAAAATCAAATTCCGTGGAATCCTATCATTCCAAATACAGTCTTCCAATGTGTTACAGAAGAGCAGCTTCTCCAAAATATTCTTCTAAAACTCAAAGCTCTATCTAAAAAAATATGTCAAATACTATTCAAAATAGCTTTTGAGTCCCACAAGCAAAAAGTAATGTTTGAAAAGTCAATCCAAATATAGTCATGATGCAGAGAGGATGAGTTTATGTTTAAAGCGTATGAAATAAAATGAGAGAGAAAGAACAGACTAACCTAGAATATGCTTCGTGTAAAATTATGGTAGCCAGGAGTAATCCTCCGACCGCGGAAGGAAGTTTGATAGCGTGGTTGTGGAGTGTTAACTGTTAAGTGAAGGCTAGGTTTTGGAATGAAAGTCTTGATTAGGCCCTAGGGTTAGATATTTAAATGTATATATATATATACATATATATGTATGTGATGGGCTTGAGCTATTGGGCTTTTAAAGTGAAGGAAGCTATTTGGATGAATTGGGCTTAATGCTGCATTTGGGTTGGATTGGACTTAATGCTTCATTTAGATTTTAGAAAACAAAAAAACTAATGTGGTTGGGTTGGGCTTAAAAAATATGTTTAAATCATTAAATATCTAAAAGAGTTAAAGCTTAAATATATATCATATTTTTACATATAATTATATATGCATATATATTTGTGTATCTATTCACAAACTCAAAACAAGCACTCATACGAGTTTGTTTATGAACATGTTCATGAGCAAACGAGCCGAGCATACACATGTTTGAGATTGACAAAAAGCCGAGCATGCATATGTTGGAGATTGGCTCGTTTATTTAAATGAGCATATCAAATCTTTTTTGGGCTAAGTTTGTTTACTAAATAAACGAATACAAACAGAGCCTAAATTGTTCGCGAATGCTCGTTTGCAAACCACTCCGAACCCAACCTTCATTTTACTCTAACCCGGTTTGAATTTGGATTGGGTTAAGAGTGTGTGAACTGGAATTGGACTATCCAAACAAAATCTGATGTTCCTAGTTCCGATCTAACCAATCATAAGTTTATCAGGATAGGTAATTTCTTGTTATTGTTGCAAGAGTAGTTTCAATTTTAAAAGTAGCATTTTTAAATATTTGTACACGAGTAACATGATAGGTTTAGATTTAATCTAATCCAACTACACACCCATCATCTAAATGATAAATAATAATACTTTAAATTATAAATGTAAATGTTTTACAAATTTATTTTTGGACTACTTGTTAATTTTGTAACATTTATTAGGTTAACTTTATCAGAGTTGCTTGCAAAAAGAAAAAAATAAAAAATAATTTGAACATATTTGACTTTCATACGCAGCTACCTGTGGTCAGAGGTTTTGATTTAGTCTCACCCACCTACCTAAATTTATTATATAAGTAATTGTAGTAGAAAAAAAGATACACACCACTGGGGCTAAAGGAATATATTCTGTATGGCATTGACTTTTGAACTACGGAGTAGGTCAAAAATCATAGTCAAAGGTACGCATATTCTTTGTTGGTGTGCTATGCCACATTTTGGCTTTCCTAATTCATGTGTATATATATATATACATGCTTATATTGTTCATAGTGTTTACATATTGGAATCTTGGACTCCACACATCCTAACATTGTGTACAAAGATATTAGTAGAAAATTTTTTTAGGGTTTGTTCTTTGAAATTAAATGGTCACTTCAAAATTCATATTTCATATATCATTTTAATATAAAAATTGGGATTTTTTTTGTTGCAGTGATAAAAAATAATAATAATAGAAAGTCCAATAGTTAAACAAATTCGACTAATTTTATGAGTCGAGCTGATGCCATCATGACTTCGTGAAAATTAATGACATCAAGATGACGTCAGTCCTACTAATGTAAATAAGTCGGAGTTGTCCGATTTTGGTATCCTAAATTATTATCCAATGATGGAATTTAGATCGCTGAGTACTTCATATAAGAATGGAGAATGCAAGTTCAAATATTTGGAATCCGCATTAGTAATTTTCTTTTTAGGAAGCCAATCAAAAAGCTATGGATTGGTTTTATGTTTAGGAAGGTGAAAAAAAAAAACAAACAAAAACAAACTACATTAAAATGATTTATATTACAAAATGTCATGTTAATTTCGATACATGTGTGTCTATGTTATATAAATTCTTTGATAATAGATCATTTGAACTGTGTCTGATATATTATTCGAACATGGGTATGTGTATGAAATATTTGTCTAACACTTTTGATGAATGTGCATCTAAAAATTATGTTCAATAATTCAATTTTTATTATATTATTGATTCAAATTGAATAAATTATTATATTAAAAATAAAATAAAAAAATTAAACAATATAAATATTTAGCCATCTCCTACACACATATCTAATTCCATAAGACATTATAGAGATGTGAGTGTGCAAGGCAAGCAGACTTGCTTTGACAATGAAGGCATCAATTGGGCACATGACAAGCGGAGTGGGAAATAAAAAAATGTAACCGAAGTCAAATCAATCCAATATAGATAGTTTTCTTTGAAAAATAGTAAAATAAATCAAATGGACATAATGTGTACTCGTGACTTATTTCATGTTTTCATAAATTAAACCACAAAATATATCCAAATGTTATCTTATATATATACACATAGATTTCCAAATATGCTCTATTTAGGCCAAGTTAGAATTAAAAAAGAAAGAGTACTATCTTTACATATTATAACTAAAAAAAACTCTCAAAATTGATGCTCCGTTCCGTATGAAGGAAAAAAAATTGAATGAAAGAGAGAGAAGAAAAGAAGACTAAGACATCCTTAAGAAAGAGATTAAGCATTTCTCTCTTTTTATTCGGTTGGATGGAAGATAATGAAAAAAACTGACAATTTAATTTGATCGGTAGGATAAAAGGAAAGATAAATTTTTAAGTTATTTTTACTATTAAAGTCATCACTTACTTTATTTATGAGATTTATTAAATATTTATGAAAGGTGATGTTGTAATTTAAAACTTCTATAATAGGCTTACTTGTTTCTCTTCTATCTTCCGTTCATATTTGAGCAGATGAAAATTTGTAAAGAATGAAGTACATCATTCCTATTTTCCTTTATTTCCTTATATCGTCTCTGTCGAACGAAGAAAATTTGTTCATTCCTTCCTATTTTCCTTCCACACCTCTTCTTTCCTTCTTACCGAAAATAGCATTAGAGGGAGAGTAAGTAAAAGATTCAAAAGAAAATAATCACAAACCAAAAATTAGTTCTTAGTGTTTAATATTTCTAAATTCACAAAATAAAAATTCATAAAACGATTTAGTTTGAATATATAAAATTATTTTTAACAGTAAGTCAAAACTTTCTTAAATCTTCATTAATTTATACTTTATTACGTATGGTTCGTTAAACTATACTCTGTAATGTATTGCGAATTAAGATTTTGGTAATAGGGAAGAGGGAGAGTTTTTAATTTCTTATTTGTGAGAGGAAAGAGGAAGCATTATGTGTTTATTTATTATTATTATTATTTAGTTTTTCTTTCCGTTACACCATGTAAGAGAAAATTCTTTCTTTTAAAAATCTGACATGACTTAGTCAAGTTTGATAGGAAAAGTTTTTATTCGAATCTAGAATATTAGCATTAAGGGACAAAAAATAGTTAAAAAAATTAGTTCGAAATTTTGGTTATAGTGAATTGAGATAATTTTGCTTTAGGAAAAGACCAAAACAACGTAGGACACAACTATGAAAATTGATTGTATTTAAATTTCTTCTTTTAGTTTGTATTTATTTATTTAAGATGTTGTGTTTTGTTTTGGTGACGAGGGCGGTGTACTTGAGGACAAGTTGGACTTATTAGACTTTTTTAGTAGCAAGTTGAAAACTACGCTAAAAAAAAAAACAAAAAAACTAAAAGTATAAATTTTTGTAACACCACAAAAGGTCCATTGGTGATAAATAAATCATGTGATTTTTAGAATGTCTGAACTTAATATTTTTATTTTTCGACCGATCAATTTTATTATGATCTCATTAAAATCACTCAATTTCATAAAAACAATAAATGTACTTTACTTTATTGTGAAATTGTGAAATGACATTATTATTTCTAATTTTATTAGGGGCATTTATGTCAATTTGGTGTTTTAAAAAAAAATGTATTCATTCTTTTTTGTTTTTCAAATTCGATTTATTTGATAATTTAAGATCAACAAAAAGCTTGAGACACATTAATTTTGGAATTAAAAACTAAATAAAAATAAATAAATCTAAATTTCAAATTCAAAGTATCAATTAGATATACCTAAACATAGCATTTATGAATATGGGATAGCTTCAACAATTAATTAGATTCATTAATGACAAATTTGCAGCTATTATGAGTACAAAAATTGGAATATATACATGTGTGGTATATATATATATACGGAGTATATATAATTTTTCTATTTGGGTTGTCTGTCTCTCTCTCATTGGTAGATACAGTTGCCTCACTCTGGCGAAGCTCAGTTATACCACTTGTTGTCTTCTTCTTCCAATAAGAAAAGTCGTGGGGGTTGGTATTGCAAAGTCGTCATTCCAAATAGACGGCGTCGTATTTTCTCTCACCTACAAGCACACGCACCACTGTGTTCGCGCTCTCTCTCTTTCTATATATATATATATAAACAAATGGACCACCATCTCTGAGGATTCGCATCTATTGCTCTCTCTCTCTAAATCTATTGCTCTCTCTCTAAAACAATGACCGATCTGAAGTCGAAATTTCTGGAGGTGTACTCTGTTTTGAAATCGGAGCTCCTCAATGACCCTGCCTTCGAGTTCACCGATGATTCCCGTCAATGGGTCGAGCGGGTAATACTATACAGTCTATACAGACATCCATTTATATATTTATGTGTACACGCACATATAGTGGCTCTCTTTTGTTCTTTATGTATTAAGTTATTAACTGAATTGAATTATAGATTTCTTTTAGTATTGGACTTAAAAACAGTTCACAAATTTTCTAATTCCGACATTTATGAATTATTCTAGTTCCCCTTTGGTATGCATTAACTCACTAATTTTCTAATTTGGGCATGATTTATTTTTCGATCTTGGAAGGTTAGTATATGATTTTGATGAATTCTATTGTGAATTCACTGCAAAAAGGGTTAATTATTAAAATGCATATATTAGTGAATTTCGGTGATATTAGAGTACATCACACTACTAATTGTTTGAGTTCAGTACAGGTTCTGAGTTCATGTTTGCTTTGATTGATTGGTTAGACTTGTATCAGAAACTTTACATTGCCTCAAATTATTCATATTGGACTTACAATTTAACAATTGCATGTATGTATGTATGTTTGTGTGTGTATGTATATATATATATATATTTGGGTATGTCTAATGTTTGTGGAATCCTGCAAGTTTTCTAATCAATTATTTTCTTGTGAATATAAAGTGGGCTTATTTACCCTTTAAATTATACATATTCACATGTGTCCTAATTTCGCGTCTATGCTTCATTCATTGCAGATGCTGGACTACACTGTACCTGGAGGTGAGCATAGAATGGTTACATCATTGTACTTTAAGAGATGTCCTGCTGCATTTTCATGACCATATTATGCTAAGATTTTACATTCATTTAACAGCTCATGCTGATTTATTTTATTTGCAGGAAAGCTGAACCGAGGCCTATCTGTTATCGATAGTTACAAGTTGCTGAAAGAAGGAAAAGAACTTACCGATGATGAAGTTTTTCTTGCGTGCGCGCTTGGTTGGTGCATTGAGTGGGTATGGCTGTGATTACCCCTTTCCTTATCTGTGGTCAAGCATACATTTTTGTTATCATAATTATTATTATTATAGTTGAACCTCACTTGTGTTGCATCACAACTTGAACCTTTATTGGCAATTACTCTTGCAGCTTCAAGCATATTTCCTTATTCTTGATGATATCATGGATAACTCTCAAACACGTCGAGGTCAACCATGTTGGTACAAACTGCCCAAGGTGCAAGCCTATTGTCTTGATTTACATTTGTTGAATTTTATTGTGATTGTAACATGCTGTTGACTTCTGAAGTATTTTGTTAGGTTGGTATGATTGCTGTAAATGATGGAATAATACTTCGTAACCATATCCCAAGAATTCTCAAAAAGCATTTCAAAGGAAAGCATTATTATGTGGATCTGCTGGATTTATTTAATGAGGTGCGGTTGTTTTTTCATAGAATAATGAATGAGTTTGCGTACTTATTCAGTATGACAAACTACTCATGAGCATGTTTGAACAGGTTGAATTCCAAACAGCCTCTGGACAGATGATAGATCTGATCACAACACTCGTAGGAGAGAAAGATTTATCAAAATACTCATTGCCTATGTAAGTGAAATTTTTATATGGTTGTGGCTTTGTTTTCTTATTCAACTTCCAATGTGATAAGATGATCTGTCTGTGTTTTTCATTCTAAAGTATGAAAATGATTGTGTTCTTTGCAGTCACCGTCGGATTGTTCAGTACAAAACTGCTTACTACTCGTTTTACCTTCCAGTGAGTAAAAACCCTTTTTTCTAGTGCATTCGTAACTCTTTCTGTTTTGTTTTGGGCTGTGAACGACTTGTGTTTCTTCTTATGGTCATGTTTTCTTTAATGTTCTCAACTGAAGATATCTTATGGAAAATCTGTGGACTTCTTATTATTTGTTTGAAAATGAAACTGCTCTATATTTGAAACTTTTCATTTTGATGGCCACATTTCAAGCTTTGCATGGCTAAGACACACACAGAATTTTTCTTGTTCTGGTTTTCAGAGTTGAATGCACTTAAATATATCATTTGTGCTTCTGTTAATTATCTTGATTCCCTCATGTCCTTAATATAATGAGAAAACTCTGCCTCAGATTCATATGGCTTTATGCGTCCTGGAACCATCTCAAGACTACTTTTCTTTACTTAAGAAGTTTCTTTTTACATCAAAATGTAGTGGATTTGCCTTGAGTTTAAAACGCCGGTGGTTACTTTTTGTGTCCAGGTGGCGTGCGCGCTGCTTATGTCAGGCGAGAATTTGGACAATCATATTGATGTGAAGGATGTACTCATTGAAATGGGAACCTATTTTCAAGTGCAGGTGAGTATTATTTGCACAGATACTTGGTTGTTAAAAATCGCTAATTTTAGAAAAGGAAAATGGAACTGACCTCAACACTCTGCTGGTATGAAATGTGAAGTCTCTCCTTGGCATGCAAAAAGACACAGTTTTTTATGACGACTTTGCCAATGGGTTATGATATCAAGTGTTGATTACTGATCTGTTAATACTTTTTAGGATGATTATTTGGACTGCTTTGGTGCACCTGAGGTGATTGGAAAGGTTAGTTCCAGGATATGCGCAAATGGATTTTGCTGATGCATATTTCTTTACTTTCGACCTCTGCTCTGTTTTGATAGAGATCTCAAAATTATTTGGTCTTTTGCACTATCAGATTGGAACCGACATTCAAGATTTTAAGTGCTCTTGGTTGGTTGTGAAAGCACTGGAACTATGTAATGATGAACAAAAGAAGTTATTATATGTAAGCGACGCGGTGCTCCTATTATTTTTTATTTCTGCTACAAGACTTCAACAGGTGGTTAATTTGCTCATCGACATGAGTTCTTTTTGTAGGAGAACTATGGAAAGGAAGATCCAAGCTGCGAAGCAAAAGTAAAGGAGCTTTATAAAGTTCTCAATATTCAGGTTTGTTTTCTCCACCCTTTCTGATTTGCATCGAGGGGAGCAACAACTTCTTACAGCCAAAAAATTTGGTGTTCTAAAATCTCAATATTCTGCAGAATCCCAAATATTTGCTTTCCTTTTTACACAGATATAGGTCTTTGAAACCCCACAGCATTTCAACTGTTTTATTTTCTAATTCATTTTTTCGGGGGGAACTTTTAGGGTGTATTTGAAGAGTATGAGAGCAAGAGTTATGAGAAGCTAATCAATTCCATTGGAGCTCATCCAAATAAAGCAGTTCAAGCACTGTTGAAATCGTTCTTGGCAAAGATATATAAGAGGCAGAAGTAGGAACTTCACCAAAACCGCAAGGTTGCATGGAGTTGAATTCGAATCTTTTGCCTGATTAGTATTTGTATTCTCCAAACTTGGAGAAAATGTTGTCTGTATTCTATAAGCACGGGTTTTGTTTTCTCTGGACTGGGGGGTAACGAACCGCTACATTATTAAGTTTGAGAATGCACATGGTTCACAATAATAAAATTTATAATGTTGTCCCTCTGTTCACTTCTTGCGTCATTTTTCTTGTTGATTATCCATGTCTTGTTTATTTTTAGAGCTTAGAAGTTGCATGGTCATTTTTATAAGAATGGAGTGAGTTGTGTCTTGAATCATGGTAATTGTGTAATCCGTTATATTTTTCAAAGTTGCAGTTCGAATTTTTTACATTTGAGCATCATCAAAGCGAGGGCTTTTAGTCTATGATCTGGTGATTGCTTGATTGTGTTGCCGCGTATCGTGTTGATCTCTTCCTGGCATTGTCCATTTACCATTGCAAGCTCGCAAGGACTAGCTCTTCACTTTGTTTTATGGAAAAGTAAAATCACTGTTAAGCTTTACAATGTGGCAATGGCATAACTCTGTTCTCTTGACCCACTTCTAGGAAGAAGCCGGAATCTTTTCAGAAATATATATATATATATATATATATATATATATATATATATATGAAGTAGGAAAATTTTAAAATTATAGTTCTTAGTGTGATGCGATTTCATGTTGTGATTTTGCAGTAAGAAAGTTATATTTTGAGCTTTTGCAATGAGTTGTGAAGCATTTTTTTTATTTAAAGGAATGGGCCAAAGAGGAGTTAATCAATGAAAATTACCAATTGTCTCGGACTTATTTTAATTTAGTCAAACTTTTTTTAAAAAAATTCCTAACATTTAAGCTCAACATTATGCATATATATATATTAACAAAATAGTAATAATGGAAAATATTTGCGTCCAGTTTAGAAAACATTTACCATTCTCTGCTGCAAATGGACATTTCCTGGTGTGAGGTTTATCAGATAAATTGATAATGGTGAATTAACCGTCAAATCTGCATATCAATTGGCCTGGAGGACGCTTTCAGTTTCTAGGAAAATTGGTAACAGGTGAACTTTATAAAAAAATATATAAATAAAAATTCTAGTATACTTGATTAAAAAATGGTAAGTTACACTCACCTCCTATGAAGTTTTGACAAATTACACATAAATAGAGCATTTGGCCCTTTATTACCTTGAGATTAACGGCACCCGACCGTTAACAAAAATTCAGAAAATGACGAAATTGCCCTTTCATTGTTATAAAAGATTTCCACATCCTTATATTTTGACAGGAAATGACAAAGTACTATGAAATGCCATTGAAATAATTCAAAGTATCAATTTTCATACCAAATTTTTATTATTAAATTTTACAAATTTTTTTATTATTATTATTATTTTATTTTATTATTTTATTATTATTATTTTTTTGTGACATTCGATTAGGTTTCTTTTTTAAGGGTTTGACAGCAATGTTGAAGTGGTTTCTAAATGGTAGGTCATTGCATATCCTCATACTTGTTATGATTTGCACCAGAAAAAATGTTGGCATGGCATTTAAAGGAAAAGACGGAGTTATAGGAGTTATGTTCTTAAGGTCTTTTACAAAAACATTCTCGTTGGATTGTATGACAAGTCCTGTATTTATTAGGAGGTTTGTGCTCTGAAATTTTCATGACTCCCGGCAAATGATATAAAGTGGCGGAGTCAGAAATTTACTTTAGTGAAGACGATCCTGAACAACAATAATATAATATTTTTAATCAAAAACAATAAATAATAAAATTTAAATATGGATTTATAATATTTCCATTCAATACATATATAATTGAATAAAATTTATGTATTTCATCTCTTGCACAAGACCTCATAATTAGTATTTTTTTTAAATGTTTTTCTCAAACATTCTATGGAATGCTATTCATTTTTCCTGTTTTTCAAAACTAGAAATCTTACTTTGAAGAACAATACTAGACTTGCCGCTAATGATGGGCTAGTGATGATTTTGAGTCATGTCATTTGCAGCTTGCCCTGTAAACTCTGAGTTTCTGAACTACACAATTATCACCAGTCAATGCAAAGGACCGTAGTACCCACCAAAACAGTGTTGTGGAGCTCTTAAAGAATTTGGCTGCCCCTATGCAGATGATTTGAATGACTTTAACTAATGATTGTGCCTCAACCATGTTCAGCTACATCAACCTCTATGGGAAATACCCACCCGGTCTTTTTGCCTGTGAGTGCTGGGAAGGGAAGTTAGGACTGGAATGCCCTGCATTACCACCTTCTTCACATCAAAACCGTCTGTAATTTGGAAATATAGCGGACGCGGTCGAAAATAGAGAAACCTTTTTTCGCGTTTATTGCTGTACTCCACCTTCTTCACACCTGTCTTCTCTCTCTCATATGAATATATATATATATATATAAGTGTACATATATAACAGTGTATGTATTATCTTTGAACACAGAGGAAAGTAAGAGATCTGTAAAATGAATCCACGTCAAAACCGACTGTAATTTGAAGGGTGTTGTTTATATAAAACCAACTTTTCCTCTGTTCTCTCTCTTCTCTTTCTCTTTCTCTCTCTCTTTCTCACAGCTGCTCCTCCCCTTCCGATTTGCTCCCTACACCCTTCCATGGGAGTGGGGAGGTGACCTTTGTTTACCTCCGGGTTAATAACTTTGGCGTGTCTCAATAAGTTCGTCCAGTGAGTAATTTTTTGAAGTAGTTTTTTTGGTTTTGGGTGGCTAGATCTACTTTTGTTTACTTTGTTTTTGACTCGACAGGTTGTATCTGTTGTTTCCCCTCAAATCTGCATATCAATTGGCCTGGAGGACGCTTTCAGTTTCTAGGAAAATTGGTAACAGGTGAACTTTATAAAAAAATATATAAATAAAAATTCTAGTATACTTGATTAAAAAATGGTAAGTTACACTCACCTCCTATGAAGTTTTGACAAATTACACATAAATAGAGCATTTGGCCCTTTATTACCTTGAGATTAACGGCACCCGACCGTTAACAAAAATTCAGAAAATGACGAAATTGCCCTTTCATTGTTATAAAAGATTTCCACATCCTTATATTTTGACAGGAAATGACAAAGTACTATGAAATGCCATTGAAATAATTCAAAGTATCAATTTTCATACCAAATTTTTATTATTAAATTTTACAAATTTTTTTATTATTATTATTATTTTATTTTATTATTTTATTATTATTATTTTTTTGTGACATTCGATTAGGTTTCTTTTTTAAGGGTTTGATTAGGCTTTTTTTTCCCAAATTAAAAAATTAAAAAAATAGGTAGGATAATTTAGCTTTTACAAGAGAAAAAAAGGGTAACAAAGTCTTTTGGTTTGACAGATTTTATTTTATTAAATTAGATAAGGGTATGATAGACATGTTATACTTTTAGGAAAAGTCAAAGTAATAAAGGATGTTCCATATGAATGTAATTTGTCCAAATTTTAAGAAAGAATAGTGTAATTTACCTTAAAATATATATAAACAAAAAACATCTAATAGAAGTAATATAAGACAAATATAAGTTGTTATTGTCTCTCCATAATTTGAAAGCAATGCTTGATAAACTCATCATTTACAGCACTTCAAGTTGGACGGTTGTTTTTTATTTTTCATTCGTTTAATTAGATTCAATAGATTATGCACGACGCACTTAATATAAATAGTGCCAGAGCCAGGAATAATATATAGGGGGGACATATTGATCATGATTAAATAAATCTTGTTGTAATAAAAAAATATATATATATATATATATAAAGAAAAGAAAATTAAGGGGATTTTGAAGGAAATAGTATTATGGTTTGATTGAAGAAGGGAAATGTGATTTTTTTTTAAAGACAATCAAATGAATTTGAAGAGTAACATAGAAAGGAAAGGAAAGAAAAAATTAAAATTTTGGTTTAAACTTAAGTCACATGAAGTGAGAGTCGGAGCGAATTTGAAAGCGGACGTATGAGAGCGGTAGAAATCAAAATTAAGTCATAAATAATAAAAATTTGAATTAAAATACACACAAAACTTAAGAACAAAAATGCACTCGAAACGTAAAAATGACAATTATTGAAAAAGATTGTGCAACTTTGGTTTAAACACCTGCTATAGGAGTATTTGTTAGTCCTGAAAGCCACAATCTTGGAAAAAGTGAAATAATCTGTGGAGCCCAATGACTGAGAACAGGATAAGATCACAAATTTGGAGCTGACTTTATGCATATTAGTGGTTGACTGAAAGAAGAAAGAAAGGAAAGGAAAATATGAAAATAGAATGGATTGATCGGTGTTGCTCCAACTCTTCTTCTTTATCAGTGCTTGTGTCTCTGTTTTTGTTCCTCTTCTCTGCTGCTTCTGCTTCCACTTACATATCAGGAGTGAGGTTGTGTGTGTGTCAATTCTAATAGACCGTCTACATCTATTTAATCAATTTAATCACCTTTCCCAATCATGCTATATCATTCTTGTTAGAGCTCTGTATCTATATATACACACACTATATCCATATGTAATTATACGTGTGTATGGTGCAGATGATATTTTTGGGTCTCACTCTTCCACCGGCCGGAACCTGCTTCAGGGCAAAGGTTTATTTTCTTTTCAATTACAGCCGCTTCTACACAATTTATATGTATAATTGAAATTATTTGTGGGTTCAGTTATAATGCATTAATCTTCCAGATTCATGAGCTCAGATTTCGGTCTTGTTGTTGCCCCCTCTTTTTTGGGGCTTTTCATAGAATAAAAATTACATGAATTCTTTGTTATACTTGGTTGACCTGCAAGATAAAAGATCTTTGTCAACTTAAAAATGTAACTATCTCAGAGCGTGTCTGGAGTGAGAAATTCAGATTCCAAACTTTTGAGTCTTCCTCTTTTGTCTCCCTTTTTGAGTTAAATGAGGGCAATGTTATATGGGTATAATGTGCTCTAGACAAGGAGTTCACAAATCTATATATATATATATATATATATATATATATATATATATATATCTGGTTGTTGTTGGGGGGGGGTTGGGGGTGGCTGGGTTTTGAGGGGAGTCATCCAACAATAGAAAACAGAGTTCATAGTTTTTTTAGAGTGAATTTCTTCCTGACTTAGCTAAAATGTTAAGAAGTTTTAGTAATATAGCTAAGGACAGCCTGTCATGTTTATTTTTTGTGGATATGATTAGGATGCTTTTTGCTTTGGTGAGCTGATCATTTGGTACTTCGAATAAACCTTTTTGTTGTTCTTTGAGGTTCTTGTTTAAAAACTTTTTTTATTTTCTTTTATTTTTAGAATAGCGAAATACAGTAATAAGAAATAGGGTTAAGTGCAAAAAACCCCATGATATATAGATTTTATGCAGAACAAGTCCCTACTTTTTGAAAAAGTGCATACAAATCCTTAAAATTTTAAAAAGGTGCATAACCGGTCCCTCTGACAACTTTTTACAAAAAGTAAAACTTAAAACCCCATTTTACCCTTTTGTTTCCCATTTTGCCCCTCACCATTTGTGCATAAAAGTCCCTCAGCGATGTGCATAAAAGGCCCCCCATACTGTGCTCAGCACCCAATATTTTGATATAGATATAGAAAAAATATTAACAAAAAAATAAAGAACATTAACAAAAATAAATAAATTAAATTTCACGTTATCATCACTAGTAAAATATACCCTTTTCTTGTTTTTTTTTCTTTTTTTTATCAATAGTCAACTTTTATTTATTAATGAAAAAAAGGAAAAAAAAAAGAAAAGAAAAAAGACTGTGGGTACGTTTGGTTATGGAATTAAATTACAATTCTAGTTTAATTTATTATTTTTTAATTATATTAGAATTTTAATTCTGTTTGATTCACCTTTAGAATTTGTATGGATATATGGAGTAATATTTATTTATTTTTTAACAAAAATATAATATTTATCTTATACTTATTAAATTATTATATATTATAGCAAAACAGTATTAGCACCAATTTTGATTAAAAATGGCAAACATGCAGATATAGAATATATATATATATATATATATATATATACAAACCCAAAGAACCCAACAACTAGAGAGATGTAATATTTATTTATTTTGTAATAGAAATATAATATTTATCTTATATGTATTTATTAAATTATTATATAAGCAAAACAATATTAGCACCAATTTTGATTAAAAAGGCAAACGTGTGTATACAGAATGTACATACACGCATAAATACATACAACCCCAAAGAACCACCCAACAACTAGAGAGAGAAACAGCGCCCTCCACCAAACTGCCTCCGCCGCACCAAACTCATTTCTATCTTTAATTTCATTTCTTGCGAAGTCTAGATACTTGTTTTCAGTTCATATGCATTGCTAGTAACTGTGATTAGGATTAGATGCACTTTTATGTTGAAATTGAGCATTTTGCTGACACGTCGCCTTCAGCCTCTTTTGCCTCACCTCACGCATATAAGCGGCAAGGATCCGAGTCAAATAACAACACCCGTAGATCTCTACTGTGGAGTCTCTGTTGTGCAGTCGTCTAGAGAGAGAAAGGGAGAGAGAAGAAGAGGTCAGTTATGGATCCAAAAACAATTATCTCTCTACTCATCTATGCATAACCGTGACACCACCCATCTGCCTTTTTTTTGTTTTTTGGTTGAATCCCATCTGTCTCTTTCTCATATGATATATGATGATTATATGTTAATATTCCAATCCATCCCCAATTTACAATGGCCATTAATCATTGATTTAGACAAACAAACAAAAAAAAAAAAAAAAAAAAAAAAAAAAGGGCGAATTCGAACTGGAACAACGGCTGAAGCTTGCGACGGCGAACCCGAACTGGAACAGCAGGCGATGGGTTTTGATTTTTTGAACAATCTGAAATGATATACCGATATGGGTTATGAACTTTTGATTCTTGCAGCAGATAGATAAACTAAAATATATGGGTTTTGAACTTCTGATTCTGCACCCAGAGAGAGAGAGAGAGCCAGGGGGGGGGGGCAAGTTCAGAGTTGAGAACGAGAATAGCCATGGAGGCAGAGGCTGAAATGATTTGCCCTAATGATATATGGTGTGTGCACGTGTGTGTGTGTGTGTATATATATATGTATATAAATGACAAATTTATTTAAATTTTAAAATATGAAAGGGCATGTTTGGTTTTAAATTTAATTATATTCAGGTTTAGGTTATTCCAATTTTATACAATTTGAGGTTTATATTATCCTTCTTCCAAACAAATCTCATTTTATACAAATTTGGACAAAAGGGTCATTTTACATGCTTGTATTTATAATTATTAATTTATTCAACTGAAGTGAGGGTATTGTCGTCATTTTACACTACCAAGGACCCAATCGCACCAAATTGATAGTATAGGGAGATTTTTTACTACGCAGGGACTGATATACATTATATCGATAGTAGAGGGGGATTTTTTGCACTTAACCCTAAAAAGTAATAGAGAAAGAATTTGGATTACTTTTCACTCACCGGAGTGCTGAAAACGTAATGTAAATTCCACTACTTGTGGTGAAAAAAATGTAGTAACGCAAAAGTTAATTGCTAAACTACTGATCAAAAACATGATAAGTAGGATCTCATGCATTAAATTGCGCGGCAATGTTGAAGTGGTTTCTAAATGGTAGGTCATTGCATATCCTCATACTTGTTATGATTTGCACCAGGAAAAATGTTGGCATGGCATTTAAAGGAAAAGACGGAGTTATAGGAGTTATGTTCTTAAGGTCTTTTACAAAAACATTCTCGTTGGATTGTATGACAAGTCCTGTATTTATTAGGAGGTTTGTGCTCTGAAATTTTCATGACTCCCGGCAAATGATATAAAGTGGCGGAGTCAGAAATTTACTTTAGTGAAGACGATCCTGAACAACAATAATATAATATTTTTAATCAAAAACAATAAATAATAAAATTTAAATATGGATTTATAATATTTCCATTCAATACATATATAATTGAATAAAATTTATGTATTTCATCTCTTGCACAAGACCTCATAATTAGTATTTTTTTAAAATGTTTTTCTCAAACATTCTATGGAATGCTATTCATTTTTCCTGTTTTTCAAAACTAGAAATCTTACTTTGAAGAACAATACTAGACTTGCCGCTAATGATGGGCTAGTGATGATTTTGAGTCATGTCATTTGCAGCTTGCCCTGTAAACTCTGAGTTTCTGAACTACACAATTATCACCAGTCAATGCAAAGGACCGTAGTACCCACCAAAACAGTGTTGTGGAGCTCTTAAAGAATTTGGCTGCCCCTATGCAGATGATTTGAATGACTTTAACTAATGATTGTGCCTCAACCATGTTCAGCTACATCAACCTCTATGGGAAATACCCACCCGGTCTTTTTGCCTGTGAGTGCTGGGAAGGGAAGTTAGGACTGGAATGCCCTGCATTACCACCTTCTTCACATCAAAACCGTCTGTAATTTGGAAATATAGCGGACGCGGTCGAAGATAGAGAAACCTTTTTTCGCGTTTATTGCTGTACTCCAGCTTCTTCACACCTGTCTTCTCTCTCTCATATGAATATATATATATATATATATATATATATATATATATATATATTCATATGAGAGAGAGAAGACAGGTGTGAAGAAGCTGGAGTACAGCAATAAACGCGAAAAAAGCGTATAAGTGTACATATATAACAGTGTATGTATTATCTTTGAACACAGAGGAAAGTAAGAGATCTGTAAAATGAATCCACGTCAAAACCGACTGTAATTTGTTGTTTATATAAAATCAACTTTTCCTCTGTTCTCTCTCTTCTCTTTCTCTTTCTCTCTCTCTTTCTCACAGCTGCTCCTCCCCTTCCGATTTGCTCCCTACACCCTTCCATGGGAGTGGGGAGGTGACCTTTGTTTACCTCCGGGTTAATAACTTTGGCGTGTCTCAATAAGTTCGTCCGGTGAGTAATTTTTTGAAGTAGTTTTTTTGGTTTTGGGTGGCTAGATCTACTTTTGTTTACTTTGTTTTTGACTCGACAGGTTGTATCTGTTGTTTCCCTTCAGTTAGATCTTTGCTCTAGGTCGATTTTTGTTTTTCCTAACTTGATTTGATCTTGTGCGGGTTGGATGTGTGGAGCCGTCTTGTGGATGCAGCTCTGGAGCTATTACCTTGGTGATAGTCTGTCTTTTGATAACTCCAATTACTGCTCTTCTCTCTTGGTGATTTTGTTTTAGAGGGGTGACTTTTTTTCAACAATTTGTATGTTTTATCGGACTTGGTTTATGCTTTATACCTTGGCCTTTGTGTTTTTCAAATGAAAAAAAAAAAAAAAAAAAAAAAAAAATCCTTCAAATTTATGACTCAGAACAGGATAAGATCACAGATTTGGAGCTGAGGCTTCACTTTATGCAAAAATATAAAATTACAACTAAGTCCCATTTTCCCTTTAAAATTATCACCAAGTCCCATTACCAACTCGCCACCGTAGTAATTCTATTTATTTTTCTTTATTGGTATTTGAATATACTGCCCTCAAAATTGACAAAATGACCACTAAGTCCCATTTTTCCTTTATAATAATACAAATAGATACTACTAAATTTTAAATAAGATCAAACCGTTTCTATTTAATTTTAAACCACTGATTCTTTCATTTACACAAATTTTATCAATACGGAGTACCATATCGTTAAGCACATGAAAAAAATAAATAAAAATAAAATCTTAAAAATTGAATAGAACATTGTCATTTTTCATATAAATTTTATATCTAATTTGATAAGTATATAAATGAAATTTTGAATGACTTAGAATTTAAATAGAAAAAATTCTCACCTAGAATATTACTATTATTCATTTCATTGAAAATTGACATAAAAATTGACGGTATTTTTTCCCTCAAAATCTGCTTGACGTGATAGGGGCATAAACGTCATTTCGCGGATGTCATGATAAATATCATGAGAGAGAGACCCTCTCCCTCTCCTCTATCTCTCTCCCTCTCCCTCTCCCTCTCTAACCTCCCTCGGCGACAGAGGCCCTCGTCTTCTCTTCTCCGCCATCTGTAGAGTAAAAAAGCTAATTTCCGGCGAAACAAAGATTCAATTGGTTCATTTATCATCCGATTACAGGTACCAGTATTAATCAAGGGTTGTTGGGTGGCTTCGATTTTATATAAACAAACCCCTCAAATTACAGTCGGTTTTGATTTGGATTCATTTTAATTATTTTAACGGAAAATAGTTGTAGGGAAACTTTCTCGGGAAAAATTTCCTGCGTCTCCGTTCATTTTATTGGATATATATTGGTTAAGTTTCTTTGAATAGATTTCTTCATAGAGAATATCTATTTAAGCTTCATATTATATTCTAAATGAATCTATAGGTTAGAATTCAGGGTAAAGTAATGAATTCTGGGAACTGGATTTTTAAATTAAATGTTTGGAATCCAAGACGGATAGGTTTTGTGCCAGAACTAGGAACCAATTCTATTGTGTTGATATCAAACTTTGGATTGGTTTGGCTTGTATAAATAAGAAAAGGGCTTTTCTAAATTTTGGCCTTGACAATGGCTAGGGAATGATTTTATGAATGTTCTATTGTTGACACGAATTATAGGGTTTATTATTGTTTTGGAATTTTTTTGCGTTTCTTTTTGGGTTCTAAGATGCATGAATTATTTCATAAATATCATGTACTAAGATTTTTTAAAATGTGTCTTTTATGCCGTTATGGTTCTAATGAAAATCTTAAAATTTTCAGGTCATTTTCTCCATTTTATCAAGATGTCTTCGCTGATTGCAAGTACCATTGCCACCCCAACTATGATACCACAAGGTATGTTGTAACTATTATGCTCACCTTCTTTTGTTAATGACTCTTTATTGATAAAAGGGGGGAAAATCCATTATGGAAATTAGCATGGGTGAGTTGTGCATTCTTCATCAGCTGAATGCTAATTAGACGCTTCAAATTTGAAAATGGGTAACCAGGGTAACATACATGAAAATGGTTGTGAAATGTATAGGATAAGTCTACAGCACTTCTAATACAAGTTTTGTTGATTCTCATCCCTTGGTGCCACACACACTGTATTGGATGAGCAAGGTATACATGTTTTTTGCCACATGTTTTTTGCCACACCACGTTAGATAGATATTTCATATTCTGAATGCCTGTAGCGTAATGGCTCTTATTTTGTGTCCCCGTTTTAAGGAATTAGAAAAGTTAATACCCATATATGCACCCGAACACAATATGTATTGATATTAATGTAAACCGGGGCTAAAATGCTTAATCAATTACAAGTTGTCTAGTTTAAGAATTAGAGATCTAAGTAAAGGTATGATGGAGAGCGTAGAGAAAAGGTTTGAGTAATCAGACGTAGGGTTGTAAACGAGCCAAGCCGAGTAATGGGTTGTTTGAGCTCGGCTATACACCATAGTGTTTGGGCGCTCAAGCTTGAGCCAAGCACTCACTTCAATATTAGAGCTCAGCTCGAAACTGTTCACGAAATTTCGAGCCGAGCTTCAAGCTCTAACAGAGAGCCAAATACACACACATATATATATACACCACTTTTACAGATAACAGATCACACAACTATATACTTACACACACTAACGTGTCATAGATGATACATATCTCCAAAAAGAAGAAAAAAATAATTATGTATATAAAATTACAAATTCATCACTTATCTTCACTTCAATCTTTTTAAAGATCTTCAAAGTGACGCCCCTGTAATGCTTTCCATCTCCTCTTGGGTCTTGATTACACAAAATATCAAGCGTGATTTTGAATGACAGACAAGACAAATACAAAATAATAATAAGGACAGTGAAGATTCACAAGAAAATTCAGAAGGGAGGGATTGCAGATGCTGAGAGAGAAGAGGACGGAGTAAAAGAAAGAATAGATAGAGGGCTTGCAGATTGTATGTGAGATAGAGAGACGCTGCCGCTGTTTGAGAAAGGAATAGAACAAGATGATGAGTTTAATTAGATTAGGTTAGGGTTTATATGTGTGTATATGGGCTGATGGGTTGTATGCATTTATGGTCCTAAGTTGGGTTAAGACATTTTAATTTAAATGGACCTTATAGATAAATATGTGGGCTGATTGGTTCCATTTATTTATGAGCCTACATTGGGTTAAGAGATTTTAATTTTAAACTGAACCTTATATAAAAATAGACTTTAGATTCTCAGTTTTAGGTATATATTTGTGTATAAAAATATGTATATACATATATATATATATATAATTATATGTGTTCGTGAACACCTTTACAAGTTTTGTTCACAAACAAACGAGCTGAGCAGGAGATTGTTTGAGATTGGTTCGTTTATGAAATGAGCTTGGAAAGCCTGTTTGAGCTTGGTTCGTTTACTAAATAGGCGAACCCAGTTGTTCACCGAACGTTTGGCTCATTTACAGCCCTAATCACAAGAAGAAAATATATATATACACACATATGTATGGGTATATGTAATGATAATTGCCCTCCAGTGGTCCTGTCGATCTGTGTTTCTGAGAATAGTAGATTAGTTACGCAATCATCTACACATAGGTCAGCTACACAGATGTTATGGGTTTGAAGAGATATAACTATACTACAGTGCTTTGGAGGGTTTCTTATCAGCTTTAACCTAGGTGATTCCATCCACACCAAGTGCTAAGTAAGGTACTGGTTACTTGCATAGTCTTCTCCAAAAAGTGTAGGTCGGTTATGTAGGTGCTATTGCTTTCAAGAGATATGACTGTAGTGCAGTGATTTCGGGAGTCTCATGTCAGCTTCAACTCAGAACTAATGAGATCAAAGCTGGTTCTTAAACCTTTAATCTGTAATAGGAGCAAAGCAAACTGTGTAATTGAATAAAAGAATTGAAGCAAAGGTGCCTATTTATTAATTTTTTTTGGTTTAAACGGCTTGCATTAGGGGATGGATATGGAGGAAGAGGAGGAGGGTAAGAGGGCTGAAGGTTAAGGAGATCCAAAGAGTTGGGACAGATTGTGAGAAAATGGGGGCTGTCCACATTGGGCCAATGAGGAGATCAGACGGGGCAGTTGAAAGAACGACCAAGGCCGATGAAGGAAGAGATTTCATTGATGCTGGTACGAACACATGGAAATCAGATGACGTATGCGCGACTCCTGTATAAGGAGCGTGATATTGTAATAGGGAAATGAGTATAATTTGAAGAGTGTAGTACGATGCATTGCTTCTTCCCTTCACCAATTGTTTGAATAGAGATTTGGGGGTACTTTTACAGTGGTGACTTATTTGGAAAAAAGGGCTTCCACACCTTAAAGCTTGTGAGCTCCTTCCCGCGTCAATTGCACCCTTGTTCAGGAAGGCCAATCAAACACCTAAAGGCTGAGAGTCAGCGCCTGGAAGTAGAGGAGAGAGTAAAAGAAGGAAGGAAGGGAGGCGCTAACATCTCGCTCAAAATCCACTAAGGGAAGGGAGAGGGTAAAAGAAGAAATAAGAGAGAAGAAAGGAGGGGGAGAGGGGGGGGGGGGGGGGGGGAGATGGATTGGGTCAATATTTCATAGAAGATATCTTGATTACTAATCATCTACTTGTGCTGCAGGTCTGCTTTATCTCTCATGTGAATTTTAATCACACCCCCAAACTCATTTATTCATTCTAATTCAAAATTTCAGTTTCACGGCTTTGCATTGGTTATTCTTTAGTTCCCAAATTTTTTTTTTTTTTAAGAAGAGATAAGACTTACCTTGGTCATACACTCCATAGTTTATTTGCACACCCAATTTCATTTTAAGTTCAACATGGCTCTCCTCTCTCTCTTTCTCTCTCCCCTCTCTATTGTATGAAGCTTTGAAGTGCCCTTTCTAATTTGAGATCCCAGACCCATCATTTCGGACTATACCAGAGTTATTAATCATTTCTGTTTTAATGGTTTGCGGGCTTTTTGTCCTGTGGACCCAACCAGTGGTCATAAAGTTGCAATGGCAAATATATTTTGAATGCATTTCTGCTATATAGAAGGCATTAAGGTTAGGTTTTCCTGACCTACCAAACTAATACTGAAATAGCCGTGAAACTTAGCTTTACTTATACATAATTGACTTTATATCTAATTGCCCAGAAAACCCCCCAACAGGGATGGATTTATCAGAGGTTTAGTTGGCTCTAATAATTGCACCCATTTTCTGATAAAAGGTAATAATTGCACCCTTAATTTTATGCCGCTTTTTTATTTTATTTTCTGTTCTCATGCTTATTTCATGCTTTTGATTTATCAATGAGTTCAGTATGATGAAGACAAAATGTCTGTTCTGGGTTCATTGGCGTTATTATTACTTTAAGTCTGACTATAAACGGAACAGGATTTATTCTGCAGAAACTCACTGAGATAAGAGTATGTACTTCTGGATGAAACAAACTGAGTAGGCATTCTAGGTTCCTGTGTATGTGTGGAGGACTTCTTTGACAGTCCTCTATATGTGTGTGCGCGCGCGCGCGTGCTTGAATCTTATAAGACAATTAACATGTGTACACTGTACACTCACAGTTTCAGAAGTTTTTGTATATATTGATACTACTTGCAGTATTAAATTGCCATATCTTTTTCATACAGTGAGATCAGAGTCTCTTTGGACGAGGCAGGCCAAACTTAGTGGATCTTGTGCAGTAGGGCTATGGCCACGTACCTCACAGTGTCAGCCCTTTGATAGAAGACGACCCGTTACACATGCCATTCGGATGAAGTCTGCTTCTTTAATATGCGCTGCTGCTCTGGTAAGTTTAGCTTTTCCTAATATTGGGTTACATTTTACTTCTTTGGCAGCTTGTCAGAAATTTCCTTTTAATGATTCTTGTTATATAAATTTTCAAAGATTACCAAACTCCCTTTTGAAAATAGTTGCAAGGTTCTTGGTTTCCTCGCTACATTCAGTGGAAGGCTTGAAGCTTCACATTTGTTGGTAAACCAGCAGGAGGGCTTGCATTTGCGTTAAATGTTCATGTTTCCCCTTTCAGTCCTTCATTTGATAGTTAGTGTCGAGGCAAGCTAGTGTTGTAAAGCTTCCAAAGCTGGACTTATTAGAATTTCTGTTGTCTTACCTAGGGTTTGGCAACTCAGTATGACATTTAGTATGATAAGCGGGGCTGGCCTACGATTTAGTCAATTGGCAATTAAAGTATGATGTTTTTATGGGCACTCATTGTTCTATTTATATGCTTTTTGGAGGTGCATTATTTTACATTTATAGTATTAATGCTACAGCATTACTCATTAAAAAAAAGTATTAATGCTACAGTATCCCTTACTTGGGAAATGGTTATGAGCCAACCCTTAGATAAACAATGAGGGATTGCAAGAGGGGATATGTCAAAAAAAATATGCTACCATTTGTATTTTTGCTCGAATCTTGTTTTTGTCACATATGCTTGGAATTGACAGCTCTTGAGAATACTTGTGATTCTTGGATCTTGATATGGTTTTTATTTCTGCAGAATGCAAGATGTGGTGCAGAGCAAACCCAAACAGTTACGAGGCAGCAATCAACTATTACTATTGCTCCTATTCAAGGTGACTGTTGCCAGAGACTTGTGAAACTATATTACTGTACTTGTATTCTGCCAGTTATTTATCTTAAAAGTTCCCAGTAAAAGAGTAACTACACTAGTTAGTTTATATAGACTCCTTATAACCAGGTTCAAAGAAATAGAACACTTCTCTGAACCTAAGAATAAAACCTTGATGATAAAGTGAATGAATCCTACACAACCTCTAATTATGAAAAAAAAAAAAAAACAAAATGATTTACTTCATCAGGCTAACTGAGAAGATGCCTTCTCCTCCACCTCTTCCTCACAAATAACCTCATGGGCTTAGCTGCTTTATTAGTAGAATTCTCATGCTCCATGGTCCATATTTACATATCGTTGCAATTGGATTTCTCAGGGTGTGTGGTTTCATGCATTTGAGAAAGAGAGATTTATAGATTGATGGATGGATAGAAAATCGCCAGGTTTATTTTCTTTAATTCATGAACTTCACACTCTTTTGAAGTAAAATACTTTCAATTACTTATAAAGTATAAAATAAAATAAAAAGTAAAATACATTCAATTAAACATAACTTTATGCTTATTTTCTTGGCATAAATTCGTAAACTTATGGAAAAGCTGTGACTATGAGATATCAGAGAGTTCCTTTTCTGTAAAGGTCTAGGTCCATAATATTCCCAAATATTGAATACTAAGATATTTCATAGGAGAAGGTTCACTCTTTTAGGTGCCATTTAACTAAAAGTGTCTGATGGCTCTCCATGCATCATTCAACTTCTGAGGGAGTTGGTGAGTAGCAGGTGCAGTCAACATTAAAGAAAACTGATAATGATGATTTTGACGTGTAAAGACCAATAAAATTGAAGTTGTTCTAGGGAAATGGGTAATTCCAAAAATGATGGGGTTGACTAGTGAAAAAAGACAGTGTACTGGTGATGCGAGATTTTATATAGTTTATTTAAGTTGTTGAGGCCTTGTTGAGTTGGCTTTAAAGATTTCCTTTGTGGGACATACAGAACCGTAGTCCAAATTTGTAAACATAGTAACATACTGAGTCAGGCTTTTGAGTATAAATTTCCATGAAGCGAACGGTGGAAGTTGAATTTTAGTTTTGGACCTGTATTCTAATTGGGGTGAACCCACAAATAAAATCAAAAGGATTTTAAGGATCTGTATTTTAATTTGGGTGAACCCACAAATAAAATCAAAAGGATTTCCACAGATAAATATTTGTAGATACAAATGTCTAGTCAACGTATATGCTTCTGGTTGTATGATTTATTTGCACACATCAACGGGAGGCCGCTGATATTAGGGAACTTGTTTTCTTTTGGGAACTTGTTTTGTTTATTTATTTTATGGTGCATGTAAGAACTGCAGTTCATGATGTAAATCTAGCGTACTTATCAGAAAAGTTATACATTTATCAGAAGTATGAACATCTAACACCAAGCCCGTGTTAAATGCTAAAGCACTTCTAACGCCTCTAACCTTGAGGAACGTTTGGTGCGCTTATGTGCTTGGAAATTAATTACTTTTGCACATGCTCTCTGTTTCCTTATATCTTGCATAATTATGATTAATGAGTTCCTGAATATCTGAAAGCCATCTAGAAACTGATTGGGACTAGAAGACTAAAATGCTGTGTGTTGTGTAAGCTTCTGTTTTGCTAACAAAATTCTTAGGAATTGTTATTTGATGACTCATAACTGAATTCCAGGGAAGGAAAAATCGCCGGATCTCGATGATGGTGGAACTGGACTTCCACCCCGTGACGATGATGGTGGTGGTGGTGGAGGAGGCGGTGGAGGCGGCGGCTGGAAAGGCGGCTTCTTCTTTTTTGGCTTTCTTGCTTTTCTAGGCTTCTTAAAGGATGAGGAAAGTGAAGGGCCTTACCGAAATGGTGGTAGGAGATGATTAAGAGTATTGCGAGTTTGACGAAACTTGAAGCATTCGGTCATGCTCCATGGTTATATTTTGCTTTTTTTTTTTCTCTTTTTTAGCTAGTGAGAATGATAATTACGCAAAGACGCCAACTCAGTCTTCTTGTAGCAACACTCTTCCTTGGAAGATCTATTATTATTTTTTCCATTATTGTGTATTGATAAATATATTAGAAACATATGACAAATTCAATTAAAGTGCTAAATAAAACAAAGTTCAATTAAAGAGTTTATTGCCACAGTGGACTGCACCCTTTTATTAACCTTAAGATCACCCTTTGGGACAAAGGGTTTAATATATACACCCAAACGAACTGCTCAATTCAGTTTTTTTCACTCATCAATTAATATATTTAAGAATCCAAAAAATTAAAAAAGAAAGGAGACCCACCACCATTGCGAAAAAAATTATTGCAAGAATTTTGGTAATTTAAGTTCTTATTGAGAGTAATGCTAGGGGAAGGAAGTGACCAAAAATTAAAAAAAAATATAAAAAGTGGTTTATTTGAGTTTATAGTCTTGCATGAATTAAAAGGGCCAAAAATGATCCATTGTTTGAGAGGAAAGACTTTAGTGAGTTAAATTATGCCTGTAATTATTAATATCATACTTTACTCGATACTGATCTTGAGATTTTTTTAATATCTTGATTTTTGCAAGAGTGACATACCCAAAGAAATGTGTGTATATGATGTGATAATTGAAAATCAGGCTAAATTTTTCACATTCTGAATAAACGAATTCCATGTCAACATTCCAAACAGGAAAAAATCCTACTAGTATGTTAATACTTCTCAAACATCATTTGCTTTTGGTTTATTTAAGGTTTTGTTTCATGTGTTTCTTCCAAAAACAAAAAAGACAAAAAGGGTTTGTTTTAATTGCTAAATAAGAATGGTTAGTTCACATCCCTTGAAGAGAGCTTTATACTATGTTGGAACTCTCAGATGATGGCTTTCTTGGTAAATTCCCAGTACAATTTAGCCGACAAGATATGTCATCAGTTATATGGCACACCCAAGGGGCAGCAATTTCATAGCCCAAGATGTGCCACATCCTCTCAAATTTGTATCTTAACATGTCCGACAAGAGACCTTGAATGAACAACGTCAAGGCTCTGAAATAATTCTCTTCATATGTAATCAAATTAACCTAGTACATTCCCCAGCTGTGCATTGCACAAAATATAAACTAAATAATTGGACAAAACGAGTCAATTATAGAAACCAAGTGATTTAAAATGAGTACTAATAGAGTAAACCAATGCCGAATTCTAAAGCAAGAAGACTCTTCTTCCTAGACTTCTTTTCTTCCCGGTCCAAAGTATTGTTTTTGAGTTTCTAAAACCCACCACTTGTATGCCGCCCATGCTAAGAAATTCTGCTCTAGATCCAATAATTCGAGCACCAATTCCTCGAGATGAGCTTCGGCGTATCTTTTTTTCTTTTTTTTAATTCTTCCTCTACTTCGAACAGAAATGCTTGTCCTGACTATATCCCGTCGTCAATGTCTGACTTGGCATACTTGCAGACAGAATTGTGCAGCAGAGGTGGAAAATACAACCCAAGGTGGGACGGATCAGTCACAAATTCTGTCAAATTTGTTAATGGCTCAATTTGTTGGTTTAATCCACGTTGTTTCCGATGTGATTGAATTTCCATAATACACCTGCTTTGAGGATTCATCCCAAAAAGCCTGATCGAGCCAACAAAAGGGGGGAAAAAAAAGAACAGAAATAAAATCAGTCCAAGGTTAAAACAGAAGAAAATCCCGACAGATCGTTATAGTGTAGAACAATTATTATTTATTAATGCTAGCTATCAGCAAGAAATAAAATTCTGACATCAGAATACATTCCTAGAAAGCATAGATAAATAAATGGAAGAACATAAGAAAAAACCAGCTAGAACACAACAGATCCAAGGGCCCTGATAATTAGTATTTCTTAATATTTGACTACTAGTTAAAGTAAAATGAAAAACAAAACCGGCTGTGCCTAGGACTCTTAAGTCACACCAGTAATGAAGGCAATGCTTGAAGGTGCTAAGTTAGCATACTAGTGAAGTCTGCATGTGTGTGTCTGTGTCTCTGATAATGAACTGTCAATCTCTTGAGGAATTGTTTGCACCCAAGAGTATTTGACCCTTAGAACTGATGCTTCATGAGGCACCAGGGCCAAGTTCTTATCCACTTGAGCCAACCCCTTGGGGTTAATTGCATGCACCTTCATCTTATGCTTGTTGGATCAAAGAAAAACACTTGAGTTGGGTAAGCTTTAGATATACCTGCCACCCAGATGGGAGATCTCTTGAAAGTTCGTTCAAATCAGGTTGCTTGTTTCCATCAGTAACATCTTCTGATGGAGCCTGTACAGCTTTACTGGCTGACTGGGCTCTCCTACGCTTCACCCGCTCACGCCTGCATAATCAAAAGAGCCAAATCACAATATCAGTGAGAAGGGGTGTAAAACAATCATGAAATTTTCTAATATAGGCCTTTAACAAGAGTTTGGTTGTGCTTGAGCTTTACCAGTGGAACTAACATGCGAAGAAAAAGATAATTAACTTTTATACGCAGTCTAAACTTAGAGCAAGATTATTTACCCAATATATATATATATATATAAAGTAAGATAAATAAGATCTTTTGATCATGTCATAGCTACACTACATAGCAAACAGATACTTTATAAAATGCAGGGTAAAATCACCATGTAATACAAATGCCAATAATCCAATTGGTTTTTGATGGAACAGCCCCAGATTGTACAGTGTCACAAATAATGGAACAAACGCTCTTGTTCTAACTTTAATCTCAGGCAATTTTTGACCATTCTGGACATTTTAGTCCCATTGGGCCACTCAATTAGAGAAAGCATATACAGCATAAAGAGCCATACACTACTTTAGGTTTTCTTGTTTATAGTTTTCTTTTATACAAAGAGGCCAAAAGATGAAGAACATGTAAAACTTTCAAAAGAATCCTGATCCGGTTCTCATGATATCTTCTCCTTCCCCCCAATAGGCCAAACCTCACCCTAATTTAAGTTTTAGAGGCCTCAATCAAGCACTGGCTTAAGTTAATCAATGAATGTGTTAGGAATCCTACACTAGATTCCCATTAACCGGGTATGTGTCTCTGGTCGATATTGAGGCAAGCAAGCAAGCCAGAAAACGAAGTATGAGACGAATGGTAGAAAAGCAAAAGACATTAAAATCACTATTAGAAGGAAGCGGGATTTAAAACATAATTGACCAACAAAACTTATTGAATTGGACTCAATCTAATCATCTTAGCAATCAACCACACCATCGTTTCAGAGGGAGAGGAGAGAGAAAAGAAAGAAAAAGAGGGGAGGAGAGAGAAGAGAAGTGGTGTTGGCAGTGGCCACAGCGTCAAAGAGAGAGAGAGAAATTGTGTTGGGTGAAGCATTACATACTTTTTTCATTAAAATATATTAAATCAGATAACAAGGATACGAAAGACATTTCACACAATCACTTAATAACTTCTATTAGTGTTTTAATGACCCCAAGGGAGGTCAGTGTAATTAGACATTCTTTTATACCGTGATCAGTGTAATTAGACATTCTTTTATGCCGTGTGTAATGAGCCTTACTTTAGAGGAGGTCAATGTAATTCACCTATAATAAAGATAAATAAATAAATAATGGCAATTGCAATTGAATGATTATAAAATAAAGGCGCACTTTCTTTTAGCTTAAGCCTCCGAAAAAGTGCAAGATTAAAGGCTTTATGTGTGCCTGCCCCTTAGTAGGTTGAGGCGCTCTAGCAAACCTCGGGCTTCTTTGATGCCTAGGCTTACCTTTAAACAACCACAAATATACATGATAAATCCAATAAGGTACATCAGAATGATCTGGTAGACTGGTACCAGTACATTCTACTCGAACAACATTATGACAGGACAAACAACATTGATATGTCCTATAAAGAACTGTTAAAGTGGGTTCAACGCTCCATACCAATCACCACCAAGAGGCAAAAAATTAGCATTATCTTTGGCCTCTCCACTGGCAATTTGCTTAGCACGCCATTCCTGCAATCAAAAGGACCTTTAGAAACTAGAAGCAGCCATTTAACAAAAGAGGAAACAGAAAACCATTCGCAGACCTCTATTTCCCGTTGCCGTTTCTTCTCTAAAATCTCATAAGCATTTTCAGGTTCATCCTCCTCATCTTCATGCAACTCCTCTTTGGCCGCTTTCCACTAATGGAACATAATTATTAAATATTTAATAATCTAAAATACACATATACAAACATACAAGAATGCAGGTCCAAAAAGCTAACAAAGTACCAAACTGGACAAATAATATACCTTGTCCACCAAACTAGAAACTTTCTTATTTGACCTCAAAGAGGGCACCACAGCAATTGTCCGTTTCTTACTCCGTGGAACTGCAAAGAATGAAAGGTGTAGGAGTCCAATTACATAGAGCTATAAATTCATATGAGTGAACCAAAACTATTAGCAAGTAGTAATTTAACCACAAAGATGAGTACCAAGGTTTATTTTTTATTAAATTTAAGTCTGAGGTGAGAAATGACAAATAATCAACAGCTTTTCTTTTCAGCATTATATATTCCAACCCCATCCATATGGAACAAAGGCAAGGATGATGATGACGATAATATGAATCAGTTGTCTGATGCACAAATAAGCAACTCAAAATTCAAGACATGTCACAACCCCATCCACCAAAAAAATAAATAAACAAATACGTTTGAAAAAAAAAAAAAAAAAAGAATCAATGAAGTGATAATTAGTATTTTGAATGAGGTAAATCATATTTATCTGGTCCACCAAGCTTGGAAGAGAGAGGAAAGGGGATGTTAGGGGATTATATATATCCAATCGAAGGAATATATCCATCCACATTAGCCACTACACTGAATTTCTCAAAAACAATAATTTTATTTACAAGAGAGAGAGAGAGAGAGAGAGAGAGAGAAACAGTCATAGAAGTGCAAAAATAAATTTAAATAGATTCTAGGAAACGAATTTCAGCTGAAACCGTCACAAGCAAAACATTCATTTCTCAGAAACAACAGCGTTTGAGCAGATCCACTTATTCTTTAGAAGCAGCTGCATCAGTTGTCCTAGGTAGATATGTGACAGCCAGATACAGAAATTTATACAATAGAATAATATTTGGAGTTTAAGTATGCGTAAGTAAGCACAAAATCTTCAGTTGAGTCAAATACAATAAATAGTAGGTTTTTCCACGTAAAAAACTCCAGAGATTTGAAATTTTACCTTTAGATTGACCCTTAGAAACTGTTAATGCTGTAGCAACAGCGTTAGCAGTGACAGCAGGTGTTGATGAGACGGGAACATTTTCAATCACTGAAATGCTTGCTGGAGCTTCAATTGTGGCTAGGGTAGAAGGAACCTCTGCAAATTCCTTCTGAGTTCCCTTATCAAAAGCAGAAGCGTCAACCTTGGTATTTGGTAACGAAATGCAGCCTGATTCTGTAAGCACCCCCATAGATCTGATTTCGGAAGAAAGGGTGTCCTTAACAGATCCACCGTCAAACCCAGAAGATCCCACCCCACTAACTACAGGTAAAGGAGCTACCGCTCCATCTTGAAGATCATAATATGCTACCGGCTCAATAGGATTGACAACAACTGGAGGAGCGCCGGGATATGTTCCGGGCACTGCTTCATAATAAAGTGTCGGATGGAGCACAGCTACTTGACATCCCTCAGCATGTCCATAGAAGTTACCGCCCGGAATTTCATTGTGTGTTGTTTGTCCATAATATTCATAATTAGAACCTGGATAGGATAGATTGTACTGTTCTGTGTAAGAAAGAGGTGGCATTGTCTCTGGAAATGACGGTGGCTCAGGATATGACGGTTCAGGTGGCTCATCAGGTGGTGGTGGAGGAACAGGTTCATTATCAGGCGGTGGTGGAGGAATCCAGTCATCATCTGGAGGAGGTGGAACACCGAGCTCTTCCTCTGGCATAAATGATTCATATTCTGCAGATGGGTTTGGCTGAATAGGCTGCTCTGGTGGAGCGCAATATTCAACAGTCTCTGTGTTGCTTGCAAGAATTGCATCTTCTACTTCCATGTCCACGTCCATGTCTACATCTTCCTCAGCGTCGAGTACAGTCTTGGGAGTTAGTTCAGTAGGAAGTGCAGCACCATGGACTTCACCTTTTCCTCCTGCACTCCCTCCAGAATGCTCAGTTCCATATCCAATTAAGGAAACACGTTCGGAGTCGATGGTATCATAATCTGGAGCTTCATTGTGTGAATATTTCTGGACTTCAGTTATTATACCAACATTAGAACCATGAGACTGTTCATAAGTACAACAAACTACTTCTTTTTCATGTCCATCTGCTTTCGTATTAATGCTCATTCTTTCATGTGAATTATATGTTTCCTCAGCTTCAGTCATTTGTGCAGATTTAAAAAATTGGGGAACAACATCATTAATGATAACTTCAAGCTGTTTAAGTTTCCTTTCAGAGTGCACCCAAAAAGGAAGCAAGGATGACCCATACGATAAGAGTGACGTGATATCAGAAAGTCTAATCTCAACTTCCAATATATACTTTGCTATCTGATCATCTCCTTGCAGATGGCCCTTGGGACTGAAACATTGCAGATACAAAAAAGGTGAAAAATAAATAAATAATAATAACAATCAAATGCTAGAAATAGAAAAATATGGGAGAGATGGGGGGAGAGAACAAAATCTAGAGTCATTTGTCAGATAAGTTTATAAATAAAAAAATACAAGGATAACTATGCAAAAGACAGGTGAAAAAAAAAAGCAGACCAGGCATGTCCATACCCTTTCAATGACCTCAATCTCTCCAACAAATATTCACCATGTTTCACAAGAGAAGAAGAAATATCAGCCTCTGTTTCATGTTCTTCATGAGCTTTTGTATCAGCTGTGGTGATCCCATTCCCAAAAGAATCAGCTGACTGCCTGGGGAAAACATCATGAAGCAGTACATAATCAGAGCTATTCTTTTCACCACTTCCATTGATATTGGAGCCCCCTTCTTTATCTTCCAAAATGTCACCCTTATAACCTTCATTCCACACTTCCGTTTGGGGGCCATGCTCATAAATTTCTTTAGGTTTAGAGCAATCATTCGTCTGTGCAGCTAAAGAATCATCCAGTCCAATATCTGAAGTAGAATTTGATTCGTGTGTACCCACAACAGCATTCTCTCTTCCTTCGCTATTAGAAACAGATTTCTGTTCACAGGTCAATTCTGTTCCCTGAGCTAAAACATCAGGTACTTCCCATGAAGTTTCCCCAGTGACAGTATTCCAGTAATAATATCGATTACTCTCTTCATGCAACACCATCTTCCAGCCTGAACTTACATCCCCAATGACTTGTGCATCAGAATTTCCAAGACCAGAGGTGTGTTCCTTCAAATCTTCTTTACATGAATCCCCAGAACCAATAACATCAATTTCTTTAGCATCATTGTCCTCCGGTTTCTGCAAAACCTCCAGTGAAGCAGAAAGAATCTCCATGTCATGTTCAACATTGTCAGCGGCAACATCTTCGCCCGCATTGATTTCCATATCTTCTCCTTCATTGCCATCAACCTGCTCGAATAAATTTTGCTTAGCATGCAAAAGAAAATGTTCATATCTGTCAAGGTGTAACTAGTGATTAGTAGATGAGTGTAAATTAGTCCACAACTTTAATATATTTACACCACTAATGCCAACTTATTTTCTCGTCATAACAAATCAAATACTATATATTCAGCATGTAAGGAATATAAAGTCTACATGTGCTAACAGTGTGAAAAATTGCAAGTAAACAGAGCATTGTAATTCATCCCAGATATCAAGACTTCAAAAGCAAATGCTAACACCAAATCATGGCCCTCTCTGGTTCAAATTTTTTAAAGAAAAAACAAGAAACAGTTCAAGAACTTTGGTTTACAATTCTCTGAAGTCATAGTTGCATAAATGAAACACATCCTTTAGCTCTCTAAAAAGTACTAACTATTTTTTGCTTTTACAGTTTTTTACTAACTGCTTTCTAAGAACTAGATCAAACAAGACCCATCATATTTCCAAAACATGGAAGCACAAGACTTTGTAACCTGCATTTGGAAGAATAAATTGCAAAAATTGAGAATGCACATGCCCCACGAAACAGTCAAAATGACCAATCCAAGTCAAGCAGAGGAAAAGTTTGCCCTGCTGCCATTGATGTGAATGAACCTCTTCCAATATATGTCGACAATGACGCATGATGATGGAGGTGGTGTTTCCTATCTATCTAAGATGGAAACTGTTGAATAGGGCTCAAAATGGACAGAATTCACGTGAATCCTGATCCGATCCAAATAAGATACTATGGACATAATTCCATATCTGACCTGTATAATTTAAACTGGGACCCAAATAGAGTAAAATATATTTGAGCTGGGTTGGATCTTGTGTAAAACCTGAGCCATTCAAGAACCACCCAGACACATACAACCCGAATTGGTGACGGGTCATTCAATGATGATCCATACCCGACCCTTATCTTACACATACAAAATGACCTCAAATTGGATCGGATCTAGGGTCAGGCCCGCTCCATTGCAAAGCCTACTGCAAACAAGTATCCAAAAGAAGGGGAAGTGAGGAAAGAGTCTCAAGTTTTTTTTTTTTTTTGATAAGTAAAATTGTGAGGTAAGAGTCCCAAGTTTTCACATCCTAACAATCATATAGTGATACAAACCAGTAATGGAGCCAGAAAATAATTCAAGAGGGGTCAGCCTTAAATCAGTAATAAGACAACAAAAACTAATAAATAAATAAATCATACTATCATAATAAACTATTTTTTTTTAGCTTAATATATATTTTCATCTAAAATTGCTCATACTTCCATTTCAATTAATCTTTTGGTAAATAGTCCCATTTCAATTATTATCAAGTTAACATATTAAAAACAATATCAAATTAAAAGAATTCTAGAAAGAATCATGTATAATCATAAAATTTATAATTTAGAAAGAAAAATAGAAATTATGAATTCACAAATTTGATATGACTAATTTTAGATTTTTTTGGTAGACTAAGATGGCATCTTAATTAAAGACAATCTTAGAAATTTGTGGTCAACCCTTATCCAAGAAGCCCCGCGTATCATTAAAATTTTAGTCGAATAGAGAAACAATAAACAAGTTTAAAGAGAGAGGTAAACAAGCTACAAACTCAAATCTCATCCACATATAATACATATATATTTAGGATTGTATAACTCTAATAAAACAATACATATATCTAAGCGTGAATCGATAGAAATTTAGCATTTGAAGTGGCACAAAACTATAAAAGAGAGAGAGAGGAGAGAGAGAAAACTCCATCATGAACTCTCTAAATCTCTAAATTCAAAAACTGTGTACAATCCATGCAATATATAAAGAATGAAATATATTTATGAGAGAAAAAATTAAAGAGAATAGTAGGCTTAGTGGGAGATTCAAAAGTAGATAAGTTGATATTGTGAAGTTTAGAGAAAGAGATAAGAGAACATATAACGGGTTTTGTCAAAAAATTAGTGGTGGCCATATTGAAATTTTGACAAAAATTTAAGAATATAATATAAATAGTTAAAAATTCAGTGAGGGTGGCCGCCTCCATTGGGCCCTTCATGGCTCCATGCCTATAAACCAACCCAAGCTAAGCACATCACCACCAGTTTCACACTCACTATACAAAAAGAGATTGTTCACTGCTCTAATCTGGCTCATGGACATTCAAACAACTCCCAATTGCAATTTGTGGCACACCAAAATTAACACTTAACTGCTTGACAGTCAAGTGAACAAATGTCATTGTCAATAAAGTACCTGGCCATTTAAGTTGGTTGAGTTTTTCTCCACGATGGCTTCATTAAGTTTTTGACCCGATTCCTCATCCAATTCGTCATCACTATACTGCCCGAGTAACAACAGAGGATTCTCTGGTTTTTGACCTGAAGACAAGATACTAAAATGTCAAATACCTTAAAGGCCATCAAAATATCTACCTAGCAGAACCAGCATATCTGGGATCAAACAAAAATACCAATAAAATATTATGTCTATATAAAGTTAGCAGCCATCAAGAATAAAAAAAATTAGAGAAAGGCAATAATAAATCCAAGGGGTGTATGTTAGAGTCTATCGATCCCCTCCACCTGTTACACATTGCACGAATTGTCAGTAGGTCACAAAACAAATAAAGCCAGAGATATACGAACCGCAGAGGAAAATTTTCCTGTCGAAATCTCCAAACCGCCTTTGATGCCGCGAAATAAAAAGGAATAACAGGTCGGGAGTTTCATTTAATAATTTACTGTGGTAGGGCCCGAGGAGATGTGATGATCAATTGAACGTTCCCAAGACCACAGCCATCCTACAGTCTGAAAACAAAATCTTGGAGGGGCAAACAACATGTCTTGTACAAAGTATATCAAAAATTTCCACCAATGTAATGCGGTGCACATCATGTCCTCTCTACATAGATCAGTCCTTTTGAAGAAAACTAACGGAACCCACCTGAAGAAGAGGGTGAATTGGGTAACCCAGCATGACTTTTCGAATCCATGTCCCCTTCAACTTCATCCCGGGGAGAGGAGCCACCCAAATCTCCTAGAAGATCAAGCATAATGCCCGAAATTAAAATGAATCAATCATGAGATGAGTATAAGTAAATAATAAATTTCCAAATGCAATAAATGGTGACTCACAATCATCATAATAAAGGAAAAACAATAAACCCATTGTGGTACTGTACTTCAGCCGTAAACAAGTGCTGCTTGCACCTCAGCATAATGATCATCAAGTATTCCAAATATTGATACAATACAAATGCCAAAACAGCTATTATGCAAAGGATTGCCCAATAAGAACATATGTTTGTGTATTTGTCTGTATTGTGGAATCAACAGAAACAAAATTCCAAACTAATAATTTTCCTTTTTCTGCGACAGACTAATTAAAATATAAATATATGCAAAGAAAGAGGTAACTAATACAGTATGAAGACTAAAAAAACAAAAAACTACAAATACTCTGTTTTGATTCTGAGAAAAAGAAAGGAAACCAAACGAAATTAGAAGTATGTGCCTTAAAAAAATTCAATTAGCCAAAAATTAAATAAGCTCCACCGAACTGTGCCAAAGACAACTAGTATTTTATCTTCTCATACTTTTTTCTTTGTAAATTCAAAATGATTTATAACAATTCAGAAGTTCAAATTCTTTTCTTTTTACTCAGTAATCTCAGCAACCAAACATCAAGAAATCAAATAAAGAACAACTTTTGAAGCCCTAAGAAGTAGAGAAAAATACATATACACGCACGCAAATACACACATAGAGGTGTTCGAGCTCTAAGAAGTAGATAATTGAATATAATTGAATCATGGTTGTTAAAGGCATGTCTAGACTTCAAAAAAGCCCCACACTCGTCAAGGCTCGATTAGAGCGCCTCAACCTAGTACAGGCCAAGTGTTAGAGGGGTCTTGTCGCACATTGGATCCGGATAGGAAAGAGATTGAGCATATGTGGGTGGAAATGCAGCATTATCCAACAGCTTAAGCTTTGGTCATGAGGTAAGCACCTGACCCATTACATTTGGTATCAGAGCCAGATTCAGTCACTGATCCGGTGTCATGCCAAGCGCCCGCCTGGGCGAGCCCACTCGGGAGGTGCCCTAGTGCAGGCCGGGTAGGCAGGACAGTCCGACTGCAATGAGGGCATTATGAGTTTGGTGAGGGAGAATGTTAAGAGGAATTTTGTTCCACGTCAGATCCGGATGGGAAATAGAGTGTGTATATAAGGGTAGGTATACAACACTGCCCACCAGCTTAAGCTTTTGGATCAGAAGGCTTGCGCTTTTTAGTAGGTTCCAAGCTAAAAAAAAAAAAAAAAAAAAAGAAAAAAAAAGAACACCTGCTATTTTTTAATCATTAGTTCATATCATTTTCCTTTTTTTTATCGAATGACTACAAAATTAGAATGTTCTATATCATACCATGGTCATATTTATCGGATCATATTTTTCAACCATATGAAGTATTTGACAAAATTCGTAAATTTATGACTCACTTACTTACAGTAATTACATTTAGTGGTCGGTTTTGAATATTTATGATAATATATGTTTAAAGTTTTGCATGATTATAGTTTTTAATTGTTTCGGAATCATAATCACATTTAATTTAATTAACTACATGCATAGGAAATAATTTATGAGCATTAATTTACCTGATCCTCTTGGTTGAAATATATATATATATATATATATATATTCCATTTTTAAAGAATTTGTTATTATATCCGTCATATATCTTGAATTGGTTCTTATCGTATAATGACTTTGTTAAATTCATATGCAAGGAGAAAAGGTATATGCATTTTTTTTTTCCTTTTTAAGATATATGTATGTTGATTTAGCTAATTTATTGAATTGATATATTGAAATTTTTTCTTATTTTGATAATGACAAATTAGTGTTGCATAGTTTAATTATTCTTTATATGCTTACAAAATATTCGTTATGATCACAAGCACACCTTACTTCCATTAGGTTCGCGCCTTGTGCTTAGGCTCCAGAAGACCTTTGGCACTGTATTGCGCCATGAGCCTTTAACAACTATGAATTGAATATGTATATAAATAAGCTCCACCACGACTATGCACCTAAATTTACTATTGGTACTCTTAACACCCATCCCACTCCCCTGAACACCAACTAAATTTGTAAGTGCAAGGGCTAGCTGCTTTGCCAGCTCTGATTAACCTCCAGGGATTATTATGGGGAAAGGCACTAAACTCTTTTTAGAAACACTTTAAATTACAAAACAAAATCTTGTGTAGGTTTCCCCACATGAAGTAGGGAAATATGAAGATCACTATAATACATCCTGCTGGCCTGCCTTCACATACATAACAACTTGGTGATAATTCCATTCTTTTATCATTCACATACGAATAAATAGATTTTAATAAAAGAGCACCCATTCTCCTAAAAACTGATCGTTTTCTCTGACAATTTTTTGTGCTTATTTCTCATCATCATTGTCATTCTTGCATTAATATTATATGAATGAGGTCTACGCCACGTGAAATCTCTTTGCCTGTTCTTTCTATTGCAACAAATCTCCCCTATATTGTTTAATTCTCTAAACTCATTTCTAACGATTTCATCCTGGGTTAAATTTGGTCTCCCTCTTTGTCTCCCACCTTCCATGCAAATTAGTCTTCCTCTTCTTAGCAGTGCATCTATATATCTTCTTTGTATATGTCCATACTACCTAAGTTTACTTTCTCTTATTTTTCCGCTAATAAGCATCAATCCGAATTTCTCCCTCATGATGATTGGTGTCCCTATCTCTTACTCTTATAGTCACCCCTATCATCTATCATATCTAAAATGGTTGGCCTAATAACAGAACTATAAAACGTTCCTTTTTAATTTGTTTGTTATTCTTTCATAGCATAAATTGCTACTTGTATCTCTATTTTGTCCAACCTGCTCCAATTTACTAATTATACCACCATAATATAAAATGGTCACTTTGCATTATTATTCTTATTTTTTATACAAAAATTTTAATAATTATAAAAGAGCCCCCACAAATGTCCCCCTAAATCTCTAAAAAATTCACAAAACACCTTAATAAAACTTCCAAAATTCAAAAGAACCCTCATTTATAATTCATTGGTCCAACATAATTTCAAATTCAGAAGGAAAAAATAAAACGTCATCCAGCAGGTCACACAATATTTTTAAGAATCAAAATTACAAAAGAGTCTTCTTTTGCTATTTATTATTTATTATTGTTAATGGTAGCCCCACTAATATATATTCCTGGCTCCGCCACTGACACTTTGGTCCTTTAGTTTTGAAGTCTGATACTTATATTATCAATATCCAACTCTTCCCTTAAATTTACATTTATATATTCAGTTTTAATCCTTTCAATTTTAGTGGTTTTCTGTTTCTTATGAATTCAAAATTACTTATAACAACAAATCCAGAAATTCAATTTAGTTTCTCTTTTGCTTCCTAATCTCAGCAACCAGACATCGAGAAATCAAATAAATAACAACAATTTAAACCCTAAGAAGCATCTAATATTTTATATATAATGAGTATATATATATAGACACGGAGAGAAATTGGTATACCAGAGGGTTCCGCAAAGAGATCGAGTTTTACTCTTCTACCGGCGGCGCTTTTTGCTGCCAGTCGACGCTCTTTTCTCTTACCCATTGACGATTGAAAATTTGAAGATCAAAAATTCAATTATTGAAGTTTTGAATTGTTCGTGCTTTTGAGTTTTGAGAGCCGAGTCCCTAGGGCTCAATAAACGCGTAACAGAGCAACAACAGCAAAGGTCGCCGAGAGTTCTCAATATATAATTTTATATATATATAGCGTATTATTTTTTGCCCTACTTAGTTTCTGTTTATATAGTGCGTCGGTCGTCACCGCTTAGTTGGGATCCTAAGGTATACAAGAAGCCTCCAAGTTCGGTTCACATATTGAGATATAAGATATTTCCAACTTAAATTATGAAATAGTATAATATACGTATATATATACATACATACAGTGTACTGAACTCTTGTTCCTATTAAGACCTTTAAATCTAATATAACGGTCACTATAAAAAATTCATATATATTTTTTCTTTTTAATAGAAAACCATCAATATTTCTAATTTTCAAATTTAATATTTACCACACCATTAATTACACCAATAAAAGGTAATTACTCAAAAAAATATATATAGAAATCTCTTCACTTCTAAAAATAACATATTTTTCAAACAAAGACCTACAAGAGTATATTTTTCTTTCTCCATATAAATTCAATTTGCAAGTTCTCTGTCTCCTTTTAATCATAAGTTTTGATTCTTACAAAAGAACCACAAACCATTCACTAAGTTTGTTTAGCAATTTCATGACAAATCATAGTCATTATCATACATACTACAGCTATTAAGATTGGGAAAATTAAACTAATGACATATGAAACATCAACTCAAAAATATATATAAATAAATTTTTTTTTTTTTTTCTGCATGACATTTCACCCGCATAAAATTTAATGGATTAAGAAAATAAATTGACTCTTGTTATTTTTTGTTTGAGAGACGTGATTTCTAGAGGTAAATTGTCTCTTGTTATTTTTTGTTTGAGAGACGTGATTTCTAGAGGTAAAGAGGTTTCAATTTTTTTGAAATAATTACCTTTTATTATTGTAATTAGTGGTATTAATAAATATTAAATTTAGAAACTAAAAATAGTAGCAATGGTTTTGTATTAAAAGGAAATGATGTAAGTATGTTTCTATAACAATCATTAGATTAGATTTAATGGTCACTATGGAAAGTGTGAATGAATTTTCTTATTCCATGGAAAGAAAGAGATCATTACTCCAAATGTATTTTGAAACTGAATATATAAATGTAAATATTAATTTAAGGTTTAGGGACAGATATGTCAACGAGGCAAAGTTAGCTAAACTCTACTCCACCCATTAGAAAATTAGTCATACCAACTTCGCCTGTATTTCGAAACAAATTTGTAATTGGTGTACCACAAATTTGTAATTGGTATACCATAACCATCCCTACCTAAGTACGACTCCTCACTGCATACTTCATTTATTTGGGGGGTAGGATAGGTTATTGTTGGAATTTATATATATATATTTAAACAATAAAATTTATTTTATGGTCCTACGCACTACGTTTTCTAAAGTAGGATTGCAATGTGATTATTGATACTTGATGGATTGGGTTTGTACTTTCCAATTTGGTGGTCTAATTGGGAGTATGGTTTTATACCATTGGATTGTGGTTTTCCAACTTATTTGGTATGATTTATTTCTAACCATTGATATATAAGTTTTCATGATAGGAAGGGAGACTTAGATATGCTTATTTGTGGAGAAGCCGTCCCCCCTATTATTGTTATATATAGGGGTTTTAAAACTCTTATTCAGTCTTATCGTATCGACAACTTTCGGAAGGAGGTAAAGCGCTCTAATTTTTCAAATCTCTCAAAGGATACTAAGGAATTCTCAAAAGGTATCAAAAGTTTAATCTTATAATCAGGTATGATATCTAAATTACTCTTTAATTAATTACAACTTGATTTCTACATGATTATTATTTGAAATAAAACCCAACAATTGGTATCAAAGCAAGGTTAGGGTTTGTAGAAATCAAGATCAGTGAATTGAATTCACATTATATATTATTTTAAATTAAGGACACGATAAATAAATAAACTTATATCTAATTGCAAATTGTGTACATGAGTTTTGTACTATTTGGATCGGTTTTGTGTTTGTTTTCCGGATATGATTTTAATATGAATATTATAATAATTGTTATTTAACCAATCAATTGATTCATATATATCTAATCAGTAGGATTCTTTTGTATGTTGTTAATTCTTGTGCACGAGATTGTATGCAATCAGTTTGTATACAGCTTATTGGAGTTTGTTTTATGCAATCAAATTGTATGTTAATTATTGTGCACGCCGAACGAGATTGTATGCAATCAGTTTGTATACAGATTCTTAAAGTTTGTTTTATGCAATCAATTTGTATGATAATTCTTGTGCACGCTGAACGAGACTGTATGCAATCAGTTTGTATGAAATTTTTTGTGCACGTCGAACGAGGGTTTTAAACAACAAGTTTGTTATGTTATATATATATATATATATCTGGCGGTTTCATTTATATGTTGTTATGTGAGTTATTTTGAAAAACAATATATAGAAAGATATATGGTTTTGAATATTTAATTAAGTCTTTAAATTATTCCATATATCTGAGATAGTAATTTTATGTATTATTTATTAATTTCTCCCTGACTAATTGATTGTAATCCCATATAATGGTGATGAAATTACATGACCTAATTTTATGATATTTGTTCCATATTTTGGTTTGGTTCAGTTTATGTACATTAAATAAATAAATTTTAATCTGATTAAAATGGAACTTCTAAAGATAAGGTCTTTTATTGGGGTTTATGAGGACTGGTAAAGTGACCGTTTCAAAATTAATAGTCAAAGTGAGTGATGCCTGCTAAAAAGTGACATGCTCATAGAGGTTATTATTTTTGAAATTTTAAAGCATTAGTTTTATTGAAGTCTCATAGTGCACTTACCTACATGAGGGTATTTGTTCTGCCAAAAAGTGATTAATGTCTTAGTGTGGAATAAGTAAGTAGAATATTTGAGAGTGCTTGGATTATAACTAAATAACAGTCTTGCCAAAAGGTAGTGGAAGTGTTTAGTAACAATTCAAGTATAATCAAATAGGTCTATGTGTGATTTGATCACAAGTTTAGGATAAAATAAAATCTAAAATTCTGCCAAACTGTGTTTTTTAGATGACATTTTATATGTTCTCGCAGGGTGGACGGTTTTGCATATAGTAAAACACCCTGATAAATTCGACTTAAAACCCCAAGCATGAATTAAAGTAATAATCCCTAAAGTTATAACATATTATTTTATATGTTCATTTTTATGTTATTTGATATAACATGTATTACAGTTATGGACGCTTTCGCTATTCAAAGACAGCTCACAGGGATTGAACCATTGAATGGTTCGAACTATACTACTTGGAGGACAAGTGTTGATATTATGTTGGGTTTCTTGGACTATGAGTTTGTACTTTATGAGGAGAAACCCGCTGCAATCACTGAAGAGTCTTCTGAAGCAGTAAAGTTGTTGTATGCTAAGTGGACTAAAGCTAATACCATAGCCATTAGGTTGATCCGTGCTTCTATTGGTGAGACTATTCGTGGTGATATTCCTGTATTTAATACTGCCAAGGCGCTTCAGTATTATTATTTGACACAATTTATGTCAACCAGTTATGATGGCAGTGGTTCAGTGAGGGAGCATATCTATAAGATATGCAAGCTGGTTAATGGTCTCAGGGAGTAGGGAATCACATTTGATGATGAATTATTGGTCCACATGGTGATCTACCCTCTGCCTAAATCTTTCGATGCTTTTAGGGTAAATTATAATTCACAAGAGACAAAATGGGACATTAATCAGCTATTGGCACTTTGTGTGACCGAGGAAGAGCGGCTCAAGGGTGCTAAATTTGAGTCAGTTCATCTTGCCATAAGCAGTAAAAGCAGGAATAACTTCAAGTGGAAAGGTGGCAAGAAAGGGAATCAGGCAATTCAAAAAAATGGAAAGCAAGACAATAAAGGAAAAGGCATTGAGTATGCAAATGCGAATGTGATTGGTTGGTCAATTAAACATCAACCTTCGCAATAGCACGAATCATTGTAAAATAGGGCTATTGGTCGGGTAAGTCGAACCACTGGGACTGCGCTAGTCTATGGCAACCTAAGTGTCTAGAATTGTTCTTAGAAAGATAAGGGGTTTATAGAGGTTTTGTTGGATGTCACTTAAGTTAGGAAATTAAAAATGCATAAAATAATAAATTGCAAGAATTCAAGTGAGTGAAGTACAAGTAAAGAAGGCTAGGGAAATGAATCCACCTTCATCCCTATACACATGCTAGGTTAAGATTAATTTAAGGGAAAAACAACATATATGATAGTCATGATACATAACAATACTAGGTTGCTATAATATCCTCAAGAAGTTCATTTAAATAGGAAGGCAAGAATAAACCATCAAAGGTTCACATGATCAACTACCTAAACTAAAATGTAGCTTAGAACATGCTTACTAAGTCAAGGATTATCAAGCCCTAATTTAAATGGTGAATGCACATAAAGCAAAAAATCAAGTATAGACCATCAAAGGGAAACCCTAAGCCATGAACTATCTAGGTTCTCCAACTCCATGCCATTAAAACCATTCCATGATCTAACTTCCATTGTCACCATGGAAGTGCAAGCAATATGATTAAGAAAAGTAACCATCCAAGACAAGATGAATAACTCACAATAATCATTTATAAACATTCAACATTCATTACAACAAAAATGAGGCTCTTGATCATGGAAAGACTATAAAAAATACATTGTAATCCCCAAAAATAAACTATACTAACACATGCTTACAAGGGAGGGGTTTCATCACCTCCCTATATGAGGTTTAGTTGCCCATTGGTGAGCTAGAAGAAGGAAGAAGCATCATCCTCATCTTCATTTTCGTGCACCCTCTTGTAGCACTCAAGAACACCCTCTTCCTTACTCTCTTCTCTCTCCTCTATCTTGCTAGAATATAGGATAATGTTTTGTGTGGTCCTTCCACTCTCTTATCAAGCTCAAGTCAAGGCTCTCTCTCCTCCAAGGAACACCTCCAACCACTTCATAAAAAAGGAAGATGGCATTGAGGAAACCAATTGCCAAGTGGCTGAAATTGAGCCATTTCCTAGTACAATCTGCTTGATTTTCGAGCACTCGAAGAGTGGTCTCGAGCACTCTAAATTAGTGTAATGTGTAACATGCTCTTCTTGCTCAGCACTGACCTACTTTGGTAAAACTACTATAACTTTGTGTCCCTAACTCCGAATGATGATCTGTTTGAAGATTTGGAGAGTTGATTCAGTGCTTTAAAAACTTCATGTTTTGATGAAGACCCAATTCTCAAGTCTGGTTGGTCAAAAATGGGGAGAAAGGCAGTACTTCAGTGCTGCCAGGCAGTTCTGTGCACCTCTGTTAAGAAGATCATAACTCTCTGCTCTGAACTCCGAATGATGAACCGCTTGAAGATTTTGAAAGCTGATTCAGAGCTCTAAATCTTTCATGTTATGATGGAAGTCCAGTTCTTGAGTTTGCTAGGTCAAAAATGGCAACAAAAGTCAGGTTCTACAGCTGCCAGAAATTCAGAATTGGCACCCTTTTTGTTCATAATTCCACAAGGCATCATTTTTGCTTCCTTTTTGCACTTTAACCTGAAAATGCACAAAAACATGCAAATGGAGTTAATCTACATAAAATAATCAATTAATGGACTTTGTTAATGTAATTTAGGGCGCCTGAATATATAATATTCAGCGCTTATCAGAATGATGAATGTTAGTTCTGTAAAAAGAAAGGACATCAAAGGAAAGACTACTACAGCTACAAAAATTGGTTAAAGAAAACAAAACAGGTATGAGAGTTGTTATGGTAATCTTTGAATCCAACTTAGTAAATGTGTCTAATCATACATGGTGGATTAATACGGGTGCATCTATTCATATCTCTTGTTCATCACAGGGACTTCGAAGCCAGAGAAAACCCGGGACTGAGGAGAAATTGGTGTTGGGTAATGCTGCTGCAGTTCATGTTGCTGCTGTTGGGACGATTTCGCTAGTGTCACACACTGGTTTTTCCTTAGAGCTTCAGGATGTTTTTTATGTTCCTACTATTAGGCGTAATTTACTTTCAATTTCAAGACTTAATGCTTTGGGTTTTCAATTTTCTTTTGGTGATTGATCAGTTACTATTCATTATGGTAAGAATATAGTTGGACATGGTTGTTTAATTGATGGTTTATATCAGTTATTGTTGAATGATTCTCATATAAATGCTTCTTGTTTTTCTGTTGATTCGATACCTTCCAGATCAAAACGTGCTTTTATTAGAAAGGATTCATCTATGTTGTGGCATAGGAGATTGGGGCATGTCTTTCGAAAGAGACTTGAACGCTTGGTCAAGGATGAGATTATAAAACCACTAAATTTTTCAGATTTTGATTTATGTGTTGACTGTGTCAAGGGGAAGATGCACAAGAAACGCAACTTTGAGGCTAGTCGGTCATCTAGTCTTTTGGATCTTATTTACACAGATATTTGTAGTCCGTTTCCTACCGCTTCTTGAGGAGGACAAAGGTATTTTATTACCTTTATTGATGATTTCTCAAGGTATACTTATTTGTACCTAATACACCAAAAGTCCGATGCACTTAACATGTTTAAAATCTATCAAACTGAAGTTGAAAAACAGTTAGGCGAAAAGATTAAAATTGTAAGATCGGACCGAGGTGGTGAGTATTATGGGAGAATGGACCAGGAGGGTGTGAATCATGGTCCTTTCGTCATGTACTTCGAGGAGCAAGGTATAGTGCCACAGTATACCACACCTGATTCTCCTGAACAAAATGGAGTTGCAGAGAGGAGAAACCGCACCTATTAAGATGTTGTTCGTAATATGATGAGCCATTCTTTACTATTTGAGAATTTTTGGGGAGAAGCTCTTAAAACGGCAGTTTATATTCTTAATAGCGTGCCATGTAAAGCAGGTCCTGAAATACCTTTCAAGCTTTGGACATGTCGTAGACCTAGTCTTCGACACTTGCATGTGTGGGGATGTCTTGCAGAGGCAAAGTTGTACAATCCTGATATTAAGAAGCTTGATCATCGCACTGTTACTTGTCATTTCATTAGGTATCCTAAAAGATCATTTGGTTATAGATTTTATTGTCCCTCGAGACCTATGGAGATTGTTGAGACCAGTCATGCACAATTTATTGAGAATGACGAATCCAGTGGGAGTTTGGATCATCGTATTTTCTTTTTCACAGAAGAGCAATCTTCTGTGCCTATTCCATTTACTACAGATTTAATTCCAACTTCAGTGATTCCATTTAGAGCTCCTAGTCCCACCCCTTCAGTTATTCCTCGTATGCAGCCTCTTGCTTCAACTTTTGATCCACTTTCTGAGCCTAATCAACTTAGAAGATCTTCTAGAACTCGGAGATCCGCTATACCTGATGATTTTGAGGTGTATGTTAGTGAGGTTGACATTGGCGAGTATGAAGATCCAATTTCATTTAATGAAGCCATAGAGAGTCATGAATCTTCTAGTTGGATAGATGCTATGAAAGATGAAATGCACTATATGGATGTTAATGGGGTGTGGGAGCTTGCTGATTTACCTATAGATCGCAATACGATGGAGTGCAAATGGGTCTTTAAGACCAAGAGGGATTCACTTGGAAATGTTGATAGATATAAAGCTAGATTGGTGGCTAAAGGTTTCAAGTAGAAGCCAGGTGTTGATTTCTCTGAGACTTTCTCTTCAGTTTCATCAAAGAATTCTTTAAGAGTCATTCTTGCTATTGTTGCACAATATGATCTTGAGTTGCATCAGATGGATGTGAAAACAACATTCCTTAATGGAGACCTTGAGGAAGAGATATACATGTCTCAACCTGAAGGTTTTGTGGTTAAGGGACATGAACATCAAGTGTGTAAATTAAATAAATCAATTTATGGGCTCAAACAAGCTTCACGACAATGGTACTTGAAATTTGATGAAGTGATTACTAGCTATGGGTTTAAGGAGAATGTTGGAGACAAATGCATATATCTCAAGGTTAGTGGGAGTCGTTTTATTATTCTTGTCTTATATGTTGATATTTTACTAGCTAGTAATGACATTCATGCGATACATGATACGAATAATTTTTTATCAATTCATTTTGATATAAATGATATGGGCAATGCTGAGTTTGTCCTGGGTATTAGGATCCATAAAAATCGCACGATAGGAACACTTGGTTTATCTCAAAAGGCATATATTAATAAAATTTTAAAAACTTTTGGGATGGAAAATTGTGCACCTGGTGAGGTTCCAGTTGTAAAAGGGGATATTTTTTCAGAGGAACAATGTCCTAAGAATGAGATTGAGAAAAGTAAAATTGATGTCGCTGTATATGCATCTGCAGTTGGAAGTTTGACGTATGTTATGACGTGCATTAGACCAGATATTAGTTATGTGGTTGGGATGCTTGGAAGATTTCAGCAAAATCCGGGTATTGCTCATTGGAGGGCGGTGAAGAAAGTTTCGAGGTATCTTTATAGAACAAAATAGTTTATTTTGGTGTACAGGAAATCAGATTGTTTGGAGATAGTTGGTTATTCTGATTCGGACTATGCAGGTTATTCGAGTAGTAGAAAATCCACTTCTGGATATATTTTTATGTTGGCTCAGGGAGCTGTATTATGGAAAAGCTCTAAGCAATCTATT